GAAAACTGGTAAGAAAATCCACAGTCATTTTTCAATGGAGACTTTTTAAAAAAAATCCTTTGGTCACAAGTATACAGAAATAACCGATTGCCAGAAAAGAAGACTATAACAGAAATTGCTAGCTAGTCATAAAAATTCCTTTTCTTTCTTTCTTGGGTATACAATTAAACTATATTTTCCAGGCTCCCCTGAAGTTGGATATGGTCATATCACTGAATTCTAGCCTAAAAAAAAGTATGTGTGTATGTATGTATATGTACACACACACACACACTCACACACACACACACGGTCTGGTTCATGTGCAAACACACACACGTGTGTTCTTTCCATTATGTGTCAGATACAATGGCAGACATTAGACGACAAGAGATAAATAAAACACTGACTCGTCCTCCTAGAATACCCATTCTAAAATGAAAGTAGAGAAAGTATGAATTTATCCTACAAGGAGACTTACACATAAGCAAAAGATGAAATTATTGATGACAGGATAGTTTATATTAGCAAAAGTTTGGCAATGGCTATCTGTCCATCAACAAGAAAACAGTTAAATAACTTATGGTACATCTATACAATGGATTACCATAAAGCTTAAAACAAAAATATAAAGAAGCCATACATGAAAATGGAAAAAACTCTAAGATACATTAAGTTAAAAGAGCAAGGTGTGCAATAACATGCATGGTATGCTTTTACCTAAAAAAAAAAAAAAGACACTGGGGAGGATTTTCAAGAAACCAGTGATAGTGATTACCTCTGGGGGTGGGGTAGAAAGATGATGAATAGAAAATTGAGGTGGAAGACTTTTTATTACATTATTTTTAACTTTTACTGACTTTTAAACTGTGAATCTATTATCTACTCAAAAAGTTAAATTAAAATGGCAGCAATTTAAAGTGGGTAAGAAACAAAATATGGTATATGTTAAGTATTATATAGTGATATACAATATGGGGTCATAAAAAGAATTACTTCTGAATGGGGAAGTTCATAGAGAGAATTACTTTTATATGGGAGCTGGTCTAGAGCTGCTCTGTCCAATACAAGAGCCACTAACCACAGGTAGCTAAATTTAAATAGTTAAATATTCAGTTCCTTAGTCATGCCACCACACATTTCAAGTGCCAAATAACCACATATGGCTCATGGCTGCTCTACTGGGATAGTGGAGATTTTAGAACATTTCTATTATTGCAGACAGTTTTACTGGACAGTGCTCATGTAGAGAAAGGTCTAAAAGAAACATCTGATACTGTCTAGAAGGCCTACAGGCAAAGGTTTGTAAGGTGAGAGAGGTCACTGGAAGCAGAGTAAACGAGATGACTTGGTTAACAAAAGGGAACAACATTCCCCCAAGAAACTGATGAGTCAAACCATAGGAGTTTGGTGAAGGAAGGTGGTAAACATGATGGACAGCTAAAAAGTATGCTGGGGCCAAGTAATACAAACCTTTCACAGTTTACAAAATGGACATACTAATTATGGAGGGCTGAGAGCCAAAAGAGTAATAAGACTGACTGCTATCAACCTTCCTATTAACAAGTCAGTAGTCAAATCAATTACTCATAAGTCAATTACTACGTTGCGGAAAAACACTCATATGGCCTGTGGATCTCCCTAACTACTTTGATATTGCTGATGTTCATTAGTGATTTCAACAGAGGAGAGAGAATAAAACATAAAATGGGTCAAGCTGAGGAACCATTTAGTTTCCTATCTTGGAGAAAAATACCAAGAGTGTAGTGGTATTCTCCATGATGTTAAATGAGACTGACCATAGATATTCTCCCATAATATCACTATCTTTCCTCTCTGTTTCTATATTTAAAACACATTTATACACTAAAACAAGAAACTATCACAGACATCTAAAACCCTGTAAGATAAGGTTGCTTGTACAAGAAAAGACCTTCTGTATGAAAAATGACATGATCCTATACTTTCTAGAGATAAAATTATTTTTTCTTCATAGTTGAAATTAGTATTTTCATTCATTCAAAGACTTCATTTTTAGTATTTTATCTAAGGAATCATGGCAATGTAAAAAAAAAAAGTCTCACTAGCTAAACAAACTTTGTCTCTTTTCTGCAGCTGCAACTCCGGGAGCAGGAGACACCACGTGCACTCAGCAGTATGCAGCGGCTGAACAGTTCCTTTTGCAGCAGCCAGCCCTCAAAGGTGGCAGTCATGAACCTCTATGGAGGTCAATGACTCAGAATCTGTTACAGACACTCCATCCAGAGTTATGCATATATGGAGAAACACGCAACACTTCAATCAGCTTCAAAGAGGAACCCCGGTAGAAGCTGACCGGAATAGGGATAAAAGAGGCAGATCCTGCTGTCATTACAAATCTCTGTATAAGAATGGACATCACGGTTGCAGAAGATTACTTTCTGTCACAAGCAGAATTTAAGACATGAACATGAAAATATTTTTGAAAAGTCTATGTCCATAGTGAAATTTTTAGGTTAATAATGTCACACAAGGAGCATTTGAGATCTTGCTCCTCAGCATATGTTGTTACTTTGGCTCAAATAAACTCATAAAAATTCAAAATAAAACAAAACAAAAAAATTATGTGACATGAAAAAAGCAGAATATAAAATTGTGTTTTCTGTATTTCATCACATTTAAGACATCACCATTTTTAAGCTTCAGTTCAACTAAAAAAGGAAAAATGCTTCTCATTAAACTGTAACACAATTCTTGCCATATCATCTGTAAGAAACAAGTCCATTTTAGAGATGCTAAAATGTAAGAAAAAGAAAATGCACCTTAGAATTGGTACATTATGATTATATCCATGTAAATCAAAAACAACAACAAGAAAGACAACAACAACAAGAAAATAAAAAAATATTTTCAGCAGATATTTCTGGTTGGTGGGATGGGTAGTTTTTATCTTTTTTGTATTGTTTTTGTCTTTTCTAAGGTGTCTTCGCGAATATGTGTTATTTTTACACTCAGAAAATGATACATTAAATTTTTTCAAAGTGCAAAACATTCAAAAATATCTGACTTTCCATTGAGACCAACAGTGACAAAGACTATGTGATGTGTTCCAAAATAAAAGGAGTTTAGTATTTTTGAAGGAAACTTCTGGCACAAAGTAGCTGTTCAGGGATCTTGTTAACATATCACCTAACACAAAAAGGTTCTGCTGATGGGATCTTCTCTGTTTTGAACAGAGATGATTGTGACTGTTATCTTTTGATAACAGCTGAAGCTTTCATTTGCTCCAGATGCTTTCCTATTTTTGTCTCTGAGGCCTTGCCATCACAACCAGCCATGACACCCACCCTTTATCTGCAAGGGATTTTCTAAAGCTTTCTAGCTTTGAGAAGTCTTACAGCTTTGCCTAAAGACTGAGAAATCATGTCTTAGCAGATAGAGTAGGACATGGAGTCTCAGCCAGGCAGAAAATATTAGTAATGGCTGTGTTTTCATAACTTTTTTTAAAATGTAAAAACTCCTTGGTACTGGAGAACCCCTAACACTAAATTCAAGTCATACTTATAAATTTAGTATACTAAATTCAAATATGCTTATCTGTCATCCACGAATTTATCTAACTCTTCCCTAGATAATATTCTCAGGGCAATGGTTCTAGAATTTTAATATGCATAAGAATCACCTGTTTAACAGCTTGTTAAACCTGTTTCCCCAGGCTCCATGCCCAAAGATTCCCATTCAGTAGCTTAGGATGTGGCCCATGAATTTGCATTTCTAAAAAGCTCAAGGGTGATGCCAATACTCCTGGTTCAAGGAACACACTTTAAGAATGTCTCAGAGAAACAAAAACCATATGTCTGCTGTCTGCTATTATATAGTAGTGCTTCCTTCTGGTTTCCTTCAAGTTGCGAAAGGTGAACCTAGTTTTAGGACAGTTAAGTTTAATGGAAGAGTCTTTACTCATCAAAACAAGTGATATATTTTACTTAAACCCCTTACTCAGTGGTCATATTTCTAAACTAAAGTTTCTTCCCTTACCTTCATGTGAATCCACTTCATCCGTATTGATTCTCCATTAATTCAGTTACAGTTTTCTGGAGATCCAGTGAACAGAAATGAATATGGCAGCATTTTCCAAAGTAAGTGGCCTCTGTGATTGTCCCCAATGATCTCCTGGTGTTCACACCCCTGTGTGATCCCCTCCCTTTGAGTGTGGGTAAAACTTGTGCCTTGCTTCTAACCCATGGAATACTGCCAAGGCAATGAGATGTCACTATCATGATAACATAGTGGCTTCCATCCTGCCTAGCCAACTCTCTTGCTGGGTTTGATAAAGCAAGGTGCCAGGTGGTAGAGGTCCATGTGGCAAAGAACTAAGGCTCTCAACCCAACAACACTCATGGAACTGAATCCTGCCAACAACCATGAAAGTGAACTTGGAAGTAGACACTTCCCCAGCTGAGCCTCCAGATGAGACCCCAGCCCTTGTATAGCCTCATGAGACCCTGAAACAGAGGACCCAGGTAAGCTGTGCCTGAATACCTGACTCACAGAAACGGTGAGCTAATAAATGTTGCCTTTAAACTAAGTTTTGGGGTAATGTGTTATGTAGCAATATATATCTTAAGATAAAAAGTACTACAGTTACATAAGTTTTGGAAATGCTGCACACTATACTCTTTTGTGGAGATAGCAATGCAGATGGCTTCAACCCAGGCCTATTTCACTGGGCTGTTAGAATATGTATATAAAATTGATAGCACAGTGTTTGACACACAGTAGGCATTTAGCAAAGGCTCTCCAATCATTCCCATTTCTGCCTGTCTATTAGAGTAAGTTTACATTACGCTGGAACATGTTCTCATATCTATTGTATGCTCTCTAAGATATTTTGCCTAAATTGTTCACCTTCAAGGTACTTGAAATTTTCTGAGTACTAGGCACTTTCCAAATTAGATTTTAAAGCCACAGTGGCAAGGACCAAGCATGGCCTGCCAGATCCCAGAGATTTATATGTGATAATGTCTTATGCTAGTCCAGCTGCTAAGCTATCCAGAAGAACTTACTGCTATTCTGCTAACTTCAAGATTTCACTGTCCACCAAATTCATCATCAATTACTCTGAGCCACAGGCCCTGATACAGAGAAAAGAACCTTGCAGGTGTTGAAGCCAGTTAGGCCTGGGTTTGAAATCCCTACTATATCTCTTTCTAGCTGAACTTGATTTCCTCAGCTAGAAAATGGGAATGCCACTGACCTCAATGTTAGTTGATTAAATGTGATAAAACACTCAAGTCTTTGGCACACAGAAGTTATTCGACACATATTAACAACCATCCCCCCGCCCTTCCTGGATATATAAATCTTCTCTACTTCTATTTATTTTTTGTTGTGACAAGGTATTCCCTCCAAATTAAATTTGTGTTTTTCCCTAAACATTATTTAGTACAGAACTCAGTACTAGAGATTTTTACATCTGAATGGACTCAGCTGTCAGTCCTCTCATGTTTTCATTCAAGGAAGCAGATATAGAGAAAGGTTAAGCGACTTACTGTTACAAACCACAACATTGTCAACTCTTGGAAAAAACACCTAACATGCTCGAAAAAAAAAAAAAATCGATAAAAAGGCAAAATGTTAACAGCCTAATAAAACTGGTTAGCAAGTTATATACCAGAAGTTGAAACTGGATTAAAATGAATTCTTAGGAAACTGTGACATTCCATCCATTCATGCTATTTCCACATCCTAGTTAATTTTAAAACAGTATGCACCTTGCCTCTCTAACAAGACTATACTTCATTATCTCTACTCCCTCCCCTACCCCATACTCCTCTAACAACCTGAGCATATACATATAGCTAACAAGGTGGGGAACAGAATAAATAATGTCCTGGTCTCTGCCATCACGTAATTTATAAGATAAAAAGGAACATAATGAAAAAGTGAATAAGATCAGTGTCAGCTCAGAGTGCCAAGGGATAGAAGATCCAACCAAAAAAGGAAATGACCAAAGGAGGAAAGAAGGTCGAGATGGTCGAAGTGTCACAGAACAGGTAGGGCTGAGCTGGTTCTTGAAACTGTCCTTGTAGAAAAGAGATAAGGGAGAACATTCCAGCTAGATGAAATATTCTGGGAAAAAACAAAGAAGCAGGACTATAGAGGGCACAATCTGAAGACAGTAAGTGGACCAACTTGGCTAGAGGAGTCATCAGAGAGGAGAATGGAAAATTACCACCACACTACAGAGAGTCTTAACCTAGCCTGAACTTGTGCTTTGCTCTATAGGCTATAGAAAGCCTTAAAAGTGTCTTAGCATGACTGTGACAAATGAAAAGCAGTGTTTGAAAACATTCACTTTGGCAGTCAGTCATGCACAAGACGGAATGGAGGTGAATAGGAAGAAAAGTGCCTAAGCGAGGATCATGGCAATAAGAAAGAAAAGCAATGACATGTAAATCAACATGAATGAAGAATCAATTGAATTAGTTACTGATCAGTGTGAATGAAAGGGAGAAGTCCAAGAAAATTAGATTTATGGTCTAAATAACTGAGAAAATCATGAACATAAACAGGAAATTTTTGAAGGTAAAGAACATCAGGAGTTTAGTTTTAGATATGAGTTGGAGATAACGTCCAAAGTGGAATAATTTTCAATAAGAATGTTAGAAATGAGAGTGAAGCACAGAAAAGAAACTGGAACTACAGATTTATCTTAATGGCCAACAATTACCACATGCTACCAGCTTTACATGCACCAAATTCAGTGCGTTCTATTATAATTCTGGCAGGCAATCACAGGTATTGGCATTTTACAGAGGTCCCCGAGGCTTAGAAAGTTTCTATAATTTACTCCAAGTCACATAACTAATCACCAGCAGTCAGGATTTGAATCTAGATCTGTTAAGACAGATTAAGTGCAGAAAAAAAGATGTGAGAAGGTAGATGTCATTAATTAAGCCAAACAATAAAGAGATTTGTAAAATTGTGAAACAAAGACACTTCTCACTAAATATTGTTTTAGAAAATATAGTTATTATTCATAAAAATGTTACTTATGTTAATACAATAGTTTAGTATTTTTAATGAGTTATTTTTTAAATTTTTGTTTGTTTCTATTAATTATTGATAGATCAAATTCACATCAAACAAAAGAATATTGTCCAGTATTACTGTTGTATATTAGCACACACAGGCATCTTACACTTATATCTCATTGAATCTTGGCAATGCTATGAGGTAAGTGGTAGTGTTCCTGCTTACCAGTGAGGAAATTAAGTCTGCAAAGTTAATTCCCTTACCCAACATACCCCAAGTAGGAAGTGGCCAATCCAGGTCTGTCTGATCCCAAAGACTGCTTTTAATTACTACACTCTACTGAGTCCATGAGTAGGTGTCAAATCATGACAGGCTTCCGTAAGTTAAGTGTTAAGCTGCTGGATGTTAAGAACAATCGACATTTTAAAAGCCATGTGTAGAATTGCACAACTTACTTTGTATATCTCTTCATATGTTTCTTCATCAATTTCTATAGTAGTCACAGTTTCTTCCACGTCTCCCAGTATCATATTTAAATGTTGATCATAAGCCTGTAGTGAGAGGATGAGGAACCACGAAATGTAATAAATTAAGAAACAATGAACACGACTTACAATATGCAAATGGCTCAATTACAAGTGACACACAATACTTACATCACAAACTTTTACACTCAAATAAAAAACAATCCTTCGCAAATCATTTCCGATGATAACTGACCTGATAAAATACAACTGTTTAAAGAGCCAAAGATAAAATTTACTCAAAATAACCTGAAATTAAAATGTTCACCCTACTTGTTATCCAAGGCAGTTACATCATTTATATTAATTATGAAAAACAAGTTAATCACTTTTTAGTAGACTTCTTTTAATCCCATCTTTAACAGTATGATAGGAAAGATACAGTAAAGGAGAAAAAATTATTTGATTGCAAAGATGGCACTGCAGTCTCCTAAAGGCATGAGACACTATTATTCAATCCTCCCTGTCCTAAACTAAACATCACAAAGTAGAGCAACACCTTGCCCAGTTATAACCTAGCCAGAACTGTCTGACACTTGTGGGCTCAATCAATAAATGATGCAATCCAGATATTAAGGGATGTCCTCAATCTAAGCTCCAAAGCTCATGCACTTTACTATAAGGTGAACCTCCGGGGACCTTGTTCACATCAAAATAAAAGTAGCCAATCAGCCATGTGGACAACTGCTAGGCAGAGCACACTAACAAGAGCAAAAATCTATAGGTCAGGGCCAGAACGCGAACAAACAAAAGGTTAGGAATCATTCATTACAGAGGCAACTGAACATACATAGGGAACTGAAAAAGACTCCAAGAGCTAAGGCAACATGTCTATCCCAGGGTGTCTCTCCATGTACCGCTAGCCCATCTGCTTAAGCTCAATTCTGCTACTCTCTGTAAAGTTGCCACTGTGCTATTTCCTGGGGTTCTTCCCTTAAGGCTAGCTGTATATTTCCCTAGTTCCCTACTTCCTACCCAAGAATAGCAGGTTCTTTATAGCAGTTCCTTTATCTTTAGGTTTTATGGGAGTAAGGCCGAAGTCAGACTGCCTAGGTTCATATTTTGGCCCTCACTTTACTGGCTGTGTCACCTTACACAAGCAACTTCATATTTCTGAGACTGAGCTTCTTCAATTGCAAACCGGAGATATTTATTATCTACCTTCATAGGCTTGCTATAAAGATTAAGTGAGATATATATTACATACAAAATAAAACCTAACATATAATTGATGCTCAATAAACTTTAGCTATTTTTAATCACTTTAGGGTGGAACGGCAATAATAAAACACGTTCTGGAAACTAACATGTTTATCAAGAAGAGGCAAAACCTTCAGTAACTCTATGAATAAATGGGACCACTTCAAGAGACCAATCCTATAGAAATATTCACAGATATACAAAGAAATATGTATTAAAATGCTTACTGCATCATTATATATAGCAGCAAGAAATGAAAAATAATCTAAATATCACTAGTACCACAGACAGAATTCTATGTAGTCATTAAAAAGAATAAAAGAGATTTTTATGCACTCATCATCAATGATTTCCAAGATTAACTGAAAGGTCTCAAAAATACGTATAGCAAAATCCTATTTATTTTTCTTAGTGATGGTGTATATATACAATGCAAATATATGCACACAATTTTTAACAGTGGTTACCAATAGGAAGAAATGGGATTTTACCTTTTACTCTATGTATTTCTATGCTGTTTAATTTTTTCACAAGAAAACACAAATCTATGCAGTCATTAATTTAAAAAATATTTAAATAAGAAAGGACAACAAATAAACGTTATTTGCAATAAATGGAAACACACCATTTCTGTTAAGAAAAAAATGTTTAAAATATGAATAAAACACAGTTGTGTTTGTCTTATAGAAATATGGGTAAGTTCCACCTTCTTCTCCTCTACATTCAAAATACTCTTCCACAGTGGACAGTTTTTACATTTTAAGGGGTTAGGGGTGGGCAAGGAAGACAAGGAAATAGCCTGCTATCAAGGTAATTTAATAAATTTACTTACATGTAATCTACCTCGAAGCTCTCTGTCATTTCTCATTTTCACATAAATTCGCTCATCCAGGCTGAGCCTGATGAGATCCAAGGGCTCTTCTACGGTGTTGGTAGTTTGTTGCTGATAAAAGAAACAGGCTAAGTAATGTAGTACTAGAGAGAGAGTGTAGTGTTCAAATCATTGCTACGCTGCATGACTGTGGGCAAATAACTTAACCCCGCTATGCCTTCCTTAGTCTCCTAATTTGTAAAATGTGGATGTTAAACAGTGTCTATCTAATATTGTTCTTGTGAGTTTTAAATGACATGCATGAAGGCTTAGAACAGTACCTACCACATGAGGGCTGAAACACACATACAACAGAAAGGAGTTATACAGCAAAATAATCATGACCGTACTTTGTTCCCTCAAAATCCAAACTGCCTGACTCAGAGTATAGGGAGTCACTCTTAGGGATTTAGCCTGATCTCAAATATCATTTGGCAATTTGAAAAACACTCACCTAATGAATACTACACACAAGGCAGACAGAATGCTAAGCAGAGACACACAGGTTTAAGGGAAGATTAGGAGTTCAGTACAGAACAGGTTGAGTTCATTAGTGCAAACTGGGCAGTAAGATGAGTAAATTCAGCAGGCAGTATAGAATACTGGCTGAACACACTGGCTTTGGAGTCAGGCAGTGTGGGTTCAACTCCTGACTCTGACACTTATGAACTGAGATTAAATATTGTGCCATCTCTAATTCTCAGTCTCCTTGTCTGTAAAATGAGGAAGCCACAATTTTCCCTTCATGATTCTTGTGAGGATTAAATTAAATAATGCATTTCATTAATATATTTAAAATAGTACCTGGCAAACAGAAAGTACTTATAACGGTTGTCGTTATTACTATTAAAGAACTGGAAACATAGGTCTCAGAGAGATGAAGGTTAGGATGACTTGGGGTCATCCATATGGAATGCATGGTTAAAGCCTGGAAAGTTAAGATTATTCAGGGAGACCTTCTTCGGTGAGTACATGAAGCCAGAGGAGGAAAGTGACTTAACATTATCCGCCCTACCACCTTAAAAGGCTAGATGAAAGTTGGGCGGGGCCGGGGGGGGGGGGCGCGAATCCTGACCTCAATTGGTCCCTATCCTCAGTTCAACAGGTGTTAAAGACCAGCTAACCAACAACTAGATATCAATGTACAGAAGTCAGTCCCTGCCCTCATAGAGCTCACTCTATTTGTAAGAAGTATAAAAACAATTATAATACTATAGGAATATACACATGACAGAGGCCTACTGCTCCTTTAGCCTCGATCTGGGATGCCCCCTGTCTACCCTTTTCATCTTTTAGCTTAAATATTACCTTTTCAAAAAGCCCCCCCCCATCATGCAATTCATTCACTCAATAAATATGTGTTGAGTGTTTCCAGCACTGTTCTAAATCCCTGGGGACAGATTAGTGAACAAAACTGCTCTTAAACAATTCACATTGTAGTAGAGGGAGACAGACAGACACTAAACAAAGAAGCATATACTTAATATGAACAAATAATACCCTATGAAGAAAAATACAACAAACTGGAGAGTGCTATGTTATGTAGATGGCTAGAGAAGACCTCTTTGAGGTGAGATTTCAGCAGAAAGCTGAAAAGTTGTGACCGGATCCACAACATTATGAGGAAAAGCATTTTGAGAAGGAAGACCAGGTGAGAAAGCATGCAGGACCATTAGTTATTCTGTATACCAGTTCATTGCTTGTTTCCTTCATACCACGTCAAAATTCTTACATATCACACATGTTTATTTATCCGTCTTCACCCACAATATAAGCTCCAAGTGGGGACAAGGATCACTTATGTCCATGCCGGTGCCCCTGGTACTTAGAACGGTGTCTAACCATATAAGTTGATGTCTACTACGTATTTGTTAGAAGAGCAATAATTGTTGCGCTCAGTAATGATAATAACTCCTTAACTTTATAACTTTATGTTCGCGCTACCAGAATCCCAACAGCTCCGTGAGGCAGGCAAGGATAATTATTCCCATTGTACGGATAAAGGGATTCAAGAGAAAGGAAATGAGCGGGAGAAATTAGTTTTCCAGCGGACTTAAAACAGAAAATATCTCAGGGCCTGAAGCAAAATTCAAAGCTGTGACGACCCAGAAAGAGGCAGCATGACAGACCATCTTCTCGTGAACTTGGAGAAAGCTAACCTGGTACGCAAAACCTAACAGGGACAGGGCGGGATTGTGGGGAAGCCGCCCTGGAGCTAGCTCCATAGAAGATACTCACCTGGTCCACGTCGTCCGCCATGTTTCAAACCCTGCGCCCTTTCCCGCTTCTCGCGATATCAACGCCCCTCCAGTTTCCGGAAACGCGAGGAAACAACGCACCGGAAGTAGAAAGAAATCTGTTTTGCACCTTCCTGCCTTCTGCAGTTTGCATTGGTCATTTAGGCCGGGACGAAGCTTCATCTGGGGGTGTGGTCTTGGGCCACAAAGGAGGGGCGTGGTCATGCCTCTCCCCGCCTGGGGGTGTTCCCCACGCTTCCTAAATCCTAGTGCGTCACTCGCGAAGCGAGTCTTTCCCAAGCAAGATGGGACCGAAGCGCTCAACTGGTAGAAAGCCACGGGGACGCAAACGGCGCGGCCAGAAGGCCAAGGGCGAGAGCACGGCGGGGCGTGAGGAGGAGGAGGCGGCGGCGGGTGAGAACGAAGCTGAGCCGGTTTTCGGGAGAGATGCTGAAGATCAGGAAGCGGGTGCGGGGAGCAGGGAGGCCGTCCTCCTGGAGGTGGGGGGCGGAAGCTGCTCCGCGCCCTTCTGCGCGGGAGAGACGACGTTACGGTGGCCGGGGGAGGCAAGCACCTGTGCCGGTGCCCGGATCCTTCTCGTTGATGCGCCTTTGGCTTCACGTGAAGAGTGATGCGTACTGAGCGGTTTTCCTGGAGCCCACACTGACTGGGAGCTCACCTGTGTAACTTCTTTACTGCTCCCTTTGCCCACAGGATCAGTACAGAGGGCTGAATAGAGACAAGGCATTAGTTATTTTTTGTTCCCAGAAGACGGATAGACCAAGACAAAGTGCTGTAGTGCGCTGAATCCCAGAATAGTATCTTCTGCTAAATCTCACCCCCAGTGTTCTAGATTTGGATCCAACCTGACTTCACGTGGATGTCAAATAGGTTTCTTAATGTTTGTCATGGGCAAAGCAAAACTTGATTTTCCCCTTTTATCCTGTCCTTTTCCCCACTTTTTCTCATCTCAATAAATGATCCCTTCATCCACATTGTTAGAGCAAAACCCTCCTTTTCCTTACATGCACACATCCAATCCATGAGCAAGTCTTGTCAGTCAACCTGAGAACGATATATCAGATCTATTTCTCTTTATTTTCATGGCCACAGCCCCTGCCCAAGACACCATTATTTCTCACTTGAACGAAGCAGTTGCCTCTTTACTGATCTCCCTACTTCTCTTCCTCCCCAGCAATAGTTCACCATCCAACAGCCCAAGTGATCTTAAGATCAAATCATACCATGCTCTTAGTTCAAACCCTTTGTGGCTTTACATGCTCTTGGCGTAAAATCCAAATTCCTCATCAGAATGACCTACAAGACCCTACATGATTTGGTTGTTGCTACCTCTCCTGTTGTTTCCTACCTCTCTTGTTTGCCAGATACTCCCTTTTTTGGATTCCTTTCTGTTCCTCAAACATGCCATTTTATTGCTCATCTTGAACCTTTGGCTTTGCTGTTCCTTCTGCCTAGAATGGTCTTCCATGATTCTTGCTGTGGCTGATTCTTCTATTTAGGTTTTAACTCAGACACTTCTTCAGCACCCTATTTAAAGTGGCCTTCACCAGGTACTCCCTGGCACAGAGGCCCTCACGGTCTCTTGTCATAATTTGTAATCTTTATTTATTAAGATTTAGTTAATTTATTTGCTGCTTTTTTGATCACCATCTTAACTAGAGTTTGGGCTTCATGAAAACATCTTATTTGTTGCTATATTCTCTCTTGTCTCTCCTCCAGCATATACTAACTGCTCAATATATTCAGGTAATTGCAAAATGTATGCTATGGAGGGATTTGGGGGATTCCTGAAATAACTGGGTAGTAGATTAGACTAGGTAATCAACAGAGGCTCCTACGACACTAGATTTGACAATTCTGTGATTTTGTACATATTATAAGTTAATCATCTGTTTGGAAATAGTCAGATGGTAACAATTTCTAAACTTAAAAGATGATTTACTTCACACTCAGTAGTTCCATTAATGAGTTCCATTTAATTCATTTAATCATTCAAATAACACTTGAATATTTTCTGAGTACCTAATTTGTGCTGTACTTGAGCTAGGTGATGTGGGAGATAGAGATTTCTTGAAGGAATTTAGAATATAGCAGTGTTAACATTTACAAAAAAAAATGTCCAAGGCAGAGTGTGATACAAGGGAGAAGGTACAGGGCTTTGTCTTCCGAAAGAATAATCTAGTTTGATTGGAGAGATTGGGAAATGCTTTCTGAAGGAGTTATGTTTGATGTGCGACTTTAAGGATGGGTAATATTTCAGCGAGAGGCTGTGAAAGGGAGTTGGTATTCTAGTTAGAAGAAACGTATTCTGAATATATGTCAATTCAAAAACTAAAAGTTTTAATCCGATGGAAATGCCACCTGATTGGGTAGCATTCCTTACAGCCAAACACTTCACCTGGGCATCATCTCGGTATAGCTCCAACACTGAGTAGTTATACACTTGGGTAAATTATTTTGGACAAATAATTTAGCCTTCTGAACCTGGTATGTGAAATGTATTCTGCCTTGCAGAGTGGTTGTAATTTTTCAGTGAGATAGCATATAAAGTTCCTGGTATGGTGATGTTAGGTAATCAATTGGGCTAGCTCATATCAGTTCAGTCTAAATGGAGGTAAGGAGGCACTCAAGCTTAACCCAAACTCTGCTAGCCAAAGGAGCTAGCAATAAGTTTCCAAGGCAGCTTCCAGGATCTGAAGAGTTAGAATCTTTGCTGTGGTTTGGGCTGCAGGTGACACTAATTTGGTCACTTGTTTTTAACAGCTCAGTAGTATAAGTTTTAACAGCACCTCAGTGCATGCAATGAAATTATCTAGTGAACAAGACAGGCAAGGTCTCTGCTCTCAAGATGCTTATAATCTTTGGGGTGGGGTAGGTAGGATAGACAAAATGAAGTTAAAAGTAAATTCACATGGTGATAAGAGCTATGAAGAAAGTAAAACAGGTTACTGTAATAAAACTGACATGAGGTGGGGAAGAAGCAGCTAAGTCAGGATCAGTGATCAGGGACGGCTTCTGTGAGGAGGTGAAATTTTGAGCCAGTTACAGAATGTCCTCAAGTAGCCATTCATAGAAAGTTCTGGGAGAAAAGAGTTCTTCGCAGAGGGAACAGTAAGTTTAAAGACTCGTAGGAAGGAATGAACTTTGCTGGTTGGCTGGACACAATGAGTGAGGGAGCCATTGGCAGGATTTGAGTTGAGAGAGGTGGACAGAGTCCTTAGTTTGGAGACCAAGCTAAGGAGTTTTTAATTCTAAGTGCTATGAGATGCCACTAGCAGGTTTAGGCAAGTGTTCCTACTAAATTTCAGTAGATGGCCAAGCAAACCACATTGGTAATTCCTGCCCTGCTGAAACAACCACGTTGAGCTCAAGGAATTAATGATTATCTCATGGTTGGACATTCAGATTTAAAAAATTTTTTGATATTATGAATAATGATACTCTGAACATTTCAGTTTTTTGTTTTCTTTCTTTTCCCCCCTTTTAACTCCACCTCTCTCTTGAAAGCACAAAAATATACAGCTGTGCCTTTTAACCAACCAAATAAGTTTGTTGAGAAACAGGCCTCTGAAGTATCCTCCCACCTGTGTTTTTATATCAGTAAAAATGAAGTATTTTGCACCTTTGCTACTAACGAGGCTAAAGACCACTGTGAAATACAGAAATCCTGATTTTAAGGGCACTCTCCTCAACCTGTCAAAGCATAAACCTCTAAGCAAGTTCTGGCCTTGGAATAAGAAATCTGTTTCTAGATTCTAAATAACTAATTTTGAAATATTTTGTGTTTCCATTAAAATGCTTAAACCATGGGAATGCATAAATACTTCTATAAAACATCTGAAAGAAACAGAACTGAATCAGAGATTTTATCTACCATTAAAATAAATGCCCCTATAACTTATGACTTTATTTAGAGCAAAGAGGAGTATCTTTTTCCCCATGCAAAAGTATATTCTTTGGGAATATAAATGTCTATCCAGAGAGTCAGCAGGACAAGCCATAAATGAAAGGAAGGAAGGAATTTGGTATTTTAGGTTAATATTGCAGCTCCTTTTAGAACTTCACTACAGGCTTCAGTATTTTTGTTTTCCAAAATTAATTGAAGTGGAGTCATCCAAAGGCAAAGGAAGATGATTTATTTCAGATTCAAGATTACTTGTGTGAATATATTTGCAAGACTTTTAGATACCCTAATTTATACATTTTTTTCTATTTCCCTTTAACAAAAAACAATTTTAAGAAAGTAAAGATATTTTCGAATTGCCACTGTCTTATTCCAACCCATGCTTACTGAGATGGTTGGTATACCAGTGACATTTGGGTTAGATTGAAAAGGTTTCATAAAGTATGTGTTTTGAGCAGAGTTTGGTTTTAAAAGATGGTGGAAAGATGAATTAGTAGAAATAAGATAGTGGTAAAACTCAGACATGTTTATAAACTTGAAACATTTCACTTAATAGGAGTGGATTAGCCCTAAAATTAATGATTAGCCTTGGTGGGTAATAAATAATCAAGGTATTAATTAACAGATTGATGTATTTTCCTTAATGGATATTAGCTGAAATTTAAGATTTGGAAATTAGATTTTATTTGAGTCATGTGATGGTCTCTCCGTTGTCTTAGGAGAAGTAGAATAAAATGCAGATAAATGGTTTTTCCTGTGAGCATAGAGTGTAGGCTAGACCAAAGGTGTGAAGAAACTGAAAGCTGGATGGTAAGCTACTGATGGAGATGTGGTTTGGAGGGAGGTTCTAGAAAAGGAGTTTTCATGAGCCTGTCCTTGAAACCACCCTCTGTCCACCTTTGCTGTTGTCTCTTACCTTGTGTTTCATGTGGTCATCTAGATGTGGTTGAAGATAAGAAACCCCCAAAGAAGAGTCTCCTCCCAAAAGTCTCACAAGGAAAGAGGAAGAGGGGCTTCAGTGATCCTGGGTGCTCAACAGATGGTCGAGCAAAAAAGAAAGTGGCCAAGGTAACTGTTAAATCTGAAAACCTCAAGGTTATAAAGGATGAAGCCTTCAGCGATGGGGAAGATTTCAGGTGAGAGATCTTGATTGTTTCTATCAGAGAAATTTGACTAATAAAACCTGCTCTTTTGCTGTCACTAGGATCTGTAGAAAAGATGGGATCTTTAAACTCTTCTAGGTAGAACTCAGACTACTGGTAAGAGCTGTAAAGAATCTTAGTGGTTGTATACTTTACCCCCAAACTTTTCAGATGAGGACAGTGACAACTTACAGAAAATGATTTATTCATGGTTACATAGCTAGATGGTAGCAAAAACCAGGATGAGACTTAGGTCTTGTGATTCCTGGTCCTGTGTTCTTTCTACTACATGAAGATATTACATATACAGAATATTAACTTGCCATTCAAGCTTTCTCTCATTATACTCCTCAGGTACACTCTATTCCTGCCCAGCCGGACTTCTTGTCATTCATTCAACACCTGCTCATACTTTGCTACCGCTGAGTTGTGCTCATATTCTTCCTTCTACCTAAAATGCTTTCTTCCACCTTGAAGATGCAAATCAGAAGCCTTGTACTCCACGGTCTTCATTGATTCTTTCCCCTTTGCTCCTCTGGTTTCTTGCAGTATCTCTTAAGAGTATAACTTGTCTACCGTGTGTTATACTTATTTGCCTACATGCCATCTACATTTACATTACTACCCTGTAAGCTCTCAGAGGACTGGAACCATGCCTGGTTCATTTTTTAATGCCCTATGGCATCTAGGCAGGATCTTTTATTTGGCAGAAACTGAACAAGTATTTTTTTTAGTAAATGAACATTCATATTAACATGTGGTGAACAATGAATATAAGCCCAGTGAACACTTGATTATCTGCCTCCTGGAAAAATTGGGAGAGAGAAGGAAGAACAGAAAGGTAGCAGGCACTAGTTCCTTCTTTGCTTCAAAAATAAATCCTCACTCTTAGTGTCGGCCTTTCCAGCATTCTGTAGTCCTGGCATAGGAAAGTAGTCCAGGAGAAAGCATGGGAAAGCATGCAGATTTTCCACCATAGTTCACCTCTCCTTTCTTCTTAGGCTTTTGGGCTTACTGCTTCCCAGTTGTGACCCACCCTCTACCCTCACCCCTGCTACTAGTTGAATTCTGTTTCCTGAGATATCCACATAAATATAGACCAGGATGCTGCCAAGGAAACCTCTGGATCTCTCTTGCCCTCTCAGTTGAGAGTTGACTGTGATCAAACCCGTAACTCATGGACATTTCTGCTGTTATTCTAATGAGAAATTTTTGTTTCTATGGTGGTAAAAGGGATTGGCTAAAAAGAGAGTACGTGTATTGTAACTGAAGACTGAGGATTAGTTATTTTAAGTATCTGTGCTAAAATCTTAGGTAATATTCTCACTTGATACCAAGGGTTGAATCTTACAAAAGCTAAAAATAACTCAGTACTCTAAACACATTTTATATATAAATTTGCAGAAATATGCAGATGGTCCCTGACTTAGGAGGGTTTGACTTAGGATTTTTGACTTTATGATGGCACGAAAGTGATAGGCATTCAGCAGAAACCACATAGAACTCCTCACTTAACATCACCAATAGGTTCTTAGAACTGCGGTGAAATGGTATGTAATGAAACCAATTTCACCAGAGGCTAATTGATATAAACAAGAGTTAAGTTCCTACAGCATCTCATCAGTGTTATAATGAAACAACATTGAATGAAGTGTTATTCAAGGACCTGCTGCACTTGGAATTTTGAATTTTGATTTTTTTCCTGGGCTAGAGATAAGGAGTACAATATTCTCTAGTGATGCTGAGCAGTGGCAGTGAGCCACAGCTCTTAGTCAGGCACATCATCACAAAGGTGCCGATACACTTAAAGCCATTCTGTACCCCTACAATCATTCTGTTTTTTACTTTCTGTACAATATTCAATAAATTATATGAGATATTCAATACTTTATTATAAAAATAGGCTTTGTGTTAGATGATTTTGCCCAACTATAGGCTAATGTAAGTGTTCTGAGCACGTTTAAAGTAGGCTAGGCTAAGCTGTGGTGTTGGGTAAGTTAGGTGATTAAATGCATTTCGACTGATATTTTCAACTTACAATGGGGTTTATTGGGAAGTAACCCCATTGTAAGTTGAGAAAGATTTGTGTTACACATTAGCAACCATTTAGTTAGCTACTTATCTGTGTAGCTGTCTGCTTAACTACCTAGTCCAGGTTTCTGTTATTCGTGGCATACCTGTGTATAGTCAAATCCCCACTTAAGTTTGAAGTTATATTTCAACTTTAGTCTCCTTAGCTCATATTTCTTAAAGTGAGGGAAAATCTTGTGAGTTTACCTATAGCAAGATCAGCAAATATGAATTGCCTCCTCCTTCTGGCGTCCATCTGTACCTGTATATACACAGATAGCACAGCTTTTACTTCTGGAACTCACATTATTATTTTGGTTTCTTCTGATTTTTCTTATACATTTTTAGACACAGCTGTATTTTCCTTCACACAGCTCTAGGGTGTAGGTTCATAGTGTTTTTTTCCATTTTGACAGCACATCTAGTATTAGACTGATGATCAGAGTACATCTTGATGAGAACTTGGGACTCATACTGATGGAGGAAATGAGGCTCAGCTCACAAATCATATTTAAATAATTGCAACAGATTTTCAATAGGAAGAGTCTTTAAAATTCAGTTAGCTTAAGTGTAACACTAGGATGTTTGTGCCTTCTTCACTTTTTTTTCCTGTGATCTTTACACGGGGACTTTACAAGTGCCTGCAAGAAGGCGCACCATCCAAAGAGAGAGGCTGCCATGGACAAAGGCAGCCATGAAGGAGACGACGAGGAGGAAAGTGAAGATGACTGGGAAGAAGTAGAAGGTAAAACATCTTGCTTTGTTTTCAGAACTGTTTGATCCTATTTTTCTGTTTGATTCTGTTTGGAGTCATCACTGATTGCAGTTTTGTGGTTTTCTTTTGAAACTAATAAGACAAAGATATGGTTGCAATAGGGACCCGCTTTTGATATGAGGAAAACTTCAACACCAGTTACTAGAGCAGGTTGTATATTCTCTTCCTTTGGTGGCTGTCAGTGGTATAGAGGCAGGATCATCTTGTAGAAAGAGCACAGGCTTGAGAGCGGTTAGTCCCTCGGTCAGAGCCCAGCTTTGGAACTTAACATAGCTGGGTAAGTAAATAACTCCACCTGACTGAGCTAGGCTTTTTCATTAACATTCAGTAAACATTAAATGCTTATTTAGTCATTTATTTTGAGTATCTCTGTAGACTTAGTCTAGCAGTGCGCAGGCTAGACTTCAGGATCGTTGGGGTGGGGAGGTAGATTTGCAAATGTAATGGGCCTAGTACATCATATACTCATAGTAAATAGCAACTAATGTTATCCCTGAGTCTTTCTGCCTAGCATGACTCTTTCTCAGCCTTCTATTTTGAAAATGTTCAAACTTACAATAAAATCGAATATGTAATATGTATACTCTTCATCTAGATTCAGTAACTTTAATATTTTGCCATATTGAATATATCTTTCAGTAAATATGCATTGTGGAAGCATTTGAAAGTAAGTTGCAGACATTCTGACACTTCACTTTAAATACATCACCATGCATTTCCTAAGAATAAGACATTCTCCTACGTGATAAAATATCATGACCACACCTAAGAAAATGAAAAATAAATCATCAATTGTTATAAAATTCCGTTACAGCTATTGTTTTCCTAATTCAGTATCTAATCAAGGTGTAAGCCTTATATTAGTTGTGTCTCTCATTTCTTTTAATCTAGAACAGTACCCCCTACCCACTATCTTTTTTTCCTTTCCATGGCATTGCCTTTTTAAAAGAATCTTGGCCTCTCGTTTTATAGAATGTCTCATATTCTGGTTTTGTCTGATAATCAGACATCTCATGGTATTGTTAACACACGTTTCAGTATTCCCATCTATTTCTTATAAATTGTAAATTGTATAAAAAGGCTCGATTAAATTTAGATTAAACTTTATTTTTACAAGAATACTTCATAGGCAGTGCTCTGTATTTTATTCATATCATGTCCACTAAGAGGCACCAATGTCAGGTTGTCCTAGTGATGTGAAGTTTGATCTTGCAAGATGGTACTTCCAGATCATGCCAGTGTAAAGGTACATTTTCCCTTTGTAATTAACCATCCCTGGGGTGGCACTCTGATTCTGGGTGAATATCTTGTTCAGTAATTTTTTATTCATTGGTTTTAGCATGCATTAATCTTGACTGGATCAAACATTATTATATCGAGGTTTGCAAAACGATAATACTCCCAATTCTATCATTTTATATACATTTATATAAAGAAGAGCTCTCCCTTTCAGGAGTTATAGTTATTTAGTCATTTATTTTGAGTATCTCTGTAGACTTAGAAAATTTTTTTTTAAATTCAGATGTATTACCAGTTATCATCATTATATATTTTGATCTTCGGATTATCCCTAATTTGGCTAGTGGAAGCCCCTTTAAGTTGGCTACCCTACCGTGTCTTTTTGACATGACTCCATTACTATTTGAGAACATTTATGTTTTCTGGAACAACAAGATATTCTAGACTCATTTTGTACATTCTTTGCTCCAGACCTGGAATCAACCTTTTTTCTCCAAGAAGCCCTGGTTCATTTTAGGAGGGAATGGTACATAGACACCAAAATATTGGCATTAGGTGTGGTCATTGCCAAACAAGTGTCATTGCTTCTAGGCCCAGAGCTTTTTTTAAAAGGTCCCTTTGCTATTGAAGTTCACAGTTAGATTCAGTATCCAGTTCAGCAAATTCAGCTTATTTTGACTAGTGTTTACAAGTGGTGTAAGGGATAAAGAGGTGAAATAGACATATTCCTTCTTATTACAAGTTTACAGCTGAGACTGAAAGACCTCTAAGTCATGGTCTATACAAACCAATTGTGATAAGAGTTATGTAGTAATACAGAGAATAGGAAATTGTTCTTGTTTGGCTTTTTTTTATTTTTTGAAAAAAAGAAGTATACTAAAACACACACATGAGTCTCAGCTCCTGGATAGCAGGGGTCTGTATATAATTAAACTGAATATCTTTTTGCTTTAGTTTCCTCCTCTTCTACTTCTGCTACCAGGCTTACTTCTCTGGGTTCTCGTGCAGGTTAAATGAGACAAACAATGTGAAACACTTAGCACGGCGCCTGGCATTTTTTTTAGGTGCTAAAAGCATGGGAGGAGTAGTTATCTCCACTAGTTGTCCACCTCGCATCCATTTCTCATTTTCTCTTTCCCAGCAGAACCTCAATTTTGTGCAGTACAATAGCTATTGTTATTATTATTATTGATTTTTTAAAATTGCTGTTGCTAGAACTTAGTGAGCCTGTGCCAGGTGATGCGGGAGAAAATGCAGCCTTCTCTCAATCTGTTCTGCCTATGAAACCAGTGGAGATAGAGATTGAAACACCAGAGCAGGCGAAAGCAAGAGAAAGAAGGTAAGATTAGGCACTTGTTTCTAGATTCCTGTCACATATTATCTGCAACAACTGCTACTAATGAAAACTTATGAGAAACATGTAGGAGACCAGGACTGAGTATCACAGTGGTCAGGAATGTTAGGTGAGATAGCCCTGGATTCTCCTTTAGGTCTTGAATGAGAAACTTTCATGTCCTGGCTGGGGCAGGAGATGGGGAGCAAAAACTATGTATTGACTCTGTATGCCAAGGACTCTGCAGGTTATCCGTTCTCTTACTTAATCTTTAGAACAGTATATGAATGAGGAGCTAGAGGCTCAAAGAGGTTCAGTATAATTTCAGGAGTCACTCTGTCAGTAGGTGGGCGAGCCAAGATCTAAATCCTTGTCAGGCTGACTGGGCAACTTGTGCTTTCCGACCCCATCACACTGCAGGACTTGAGGCAGTGCACCACCATGGTAGGAAGCCCCCATTCCATCCTAGTATCCCCAGTACCTCTGCAGCCTCTGTGGCTTGAAAACCTGGAGCACAACACCTGGTAGTTACTTGGTTAATGGGTTCCACTGTGTGGGCACATTACTAGCCATGCAAGAAGAAAATAATAGAAGTCATTCAAGAAACGTTAAGTTTTCTTGAAGCTGCATGGGACACAGACATGAAAGGTTTTACACCAGAACAGCATTATACAAGTGAGTGTACATTAATAGAAAATAAAATTGGTGGTTGCTAGGAGGGCCTCAGCCATTGGGAGGTCAGGCAGTTGGAGAAGACTTCCTGGAGGATATGAGCTTCAGCTCATGTTCATGAGGCATGATTTTGTGCAGCTTGAGAGAAGGGCAGTCTGGGTGGAGAGTGTCCTGAGCAAAGGTTTGTAGGTGAGAAGGAGCAAAAAGAGTATGCAGAAAATACATAGCTTTTAAAAATAGCTTTTAAAAATTTACTTAGTAACATAGCCTTGCACAAGAAAACAAGGAGAGCAATTCATACGCCATTGCAAGTAAAAGGAATTGACTAGGGGAATGGAGTCAGGTTTCAATTTCCCAACTGAAAATAAAGCTAGAATAAGTTTATGGTAACTGAAAAAAAAAGCAGCATACCAAATTGTTCATAAAAATTATGGTAACTGAAAAAAAAAAGCAGCATACCAAATTGTTCATAAAGATTATTTTAGTACAAACAAAAACAAGAGTGTAAGGAAATAAACTGTTCATATTGATTGCCTCTAGGTGACAGCACCCTGGGGGCATTTTTTTTGTTGATTTCTCCTTCCTAAAGAGCATACACACCAAGAAACTCCATTGCCTGCAGGACTTAATTCACATCTCTTAGCATGGCCTACATGCCACAGGGACCCCAGATAACGTTCACGTTCACATTTTTCAATATGTATTACAGTGAAAAAATACAAATGGAGTTTGAGACAAATCTTCGGAGGCTGATGAAACGTTTCAGTAAAGAAGTCCACGAGGACACGCACAAGGTGAGGGCAGGGAATGAAGGGAAAAGACAGTATTCCTCTTTGTCAAGGCTGGGTGCTATGGCAGAAAGAACTTGGGTTCAGTCAGTCAAACCTGGGTTTTGTTTCTGGCTCTTCTACTCACTGTGTGACCTTGGCAGTTTTTTATTCTCGCTGAGCCTTAGTTTCCTCATCTTTGAAGTGAGAGGTAATAGTAGTGTCTTCTTTGGTAGGCGGTTGTGAGGGTTACACAGATATCATATATAAAACATGTAGCGCAATGCCTGGCATGAAGCAGGGGCTAAACAGCCGTGCCCCTTTCATCTCCTGTTTGAACTGTTTAATAACATTAGTTCCGATCTCAGCTAAAGTCTCTGGCTTTTGACTTCAGCCAGTAGGTATTGAACACGTATTATGGACCTAGCAAGGTACTTGGCATTGTGGGAAGAGAGACTTGTATAAAACTTATTTCCTAGTTAAGGAGTTTCCGATCTCACAGATGGAACAAGAAAGACTTCGAAAAAGAGAAACTCAAGACTTAAAGAAGGAAAGGGAATAGTGTGGGTCCGATTAGCTGAGGAAGGTTTTATTTAGGAGAAAGCATAGCATGTTGAGATGGGAAAGGATAGAGTCTATGAAGACTGCTCTTGCTGAGTTTTGGAGAGGATGATGGGACAACCAGTTTTCCCACATGTTGGAGGACATGCGTTTTGGAGACATGTCGAGAGTGAGGAAAGGGAGAATTTTGATTCTCCTTTAATTAGCAGGCAGCCAGGGAATGTAGAGATGCAGCTGATGGAAGAGACACCTCAGCAGCCACAGAAATCTAGAGGTGGGGTGAGCACATAGCAAGGACAGTGAGGACATGGGATGAGAACTGAAGTGATTCCCACTTTGTAGCAGCCTTGGGGATTAAATGAGGTAGTTTTGTTTCTTTTACCTTTTGGTGTTAGAGATGAAAGAAAGGGAAAAATTACTATAACTCCGAGATTTGAAGCTTAAGTGAGGGTAGAAGGGCAGCACCATTGATTGAAATCGGAAAGCTGTAAGTGGGAAGGAAGGAAGACATTTTGAAGGGAAAATGATGCAAAGCTATGGGCGAGAGAAAAGGGAGGCAGTCACATGATCATTTCAGTAGGTTGAGAAAGGGTGGGGTGGGAGGTCAGATATGGGGACCAGTGTAGGGTTTGAAGTGGGGGAGGCTGGCTTCAAGCACACATGGAAGTGCAGAGAGCAGTGCAGTGAACCCCTTGCTGTCTCCTCAGCTTTGACAGTTATTAGCCTGTGAGCAGTCTTGCTATTTTCTTCCCCCACTCACTTTTCCTCCTGATATTTTTGGCTCAAACCAAAGACATTGTTGCATTTCATCCATAGATCTTTTGACAAGGCCTCTTAAAATAGGCCTTTTGAAGCTTTGAGGTTTAAGGCTCTTTGAGGGAATGAATATCTAGGTAGAAGAGAGGGTGACAGACAAAATCTTGGGAAATATCTAAAGTTAATATTTTTACTTTTTTGTATGTTGACAACAAATATTTTCTGCCCACAAATGTCTTTTAATTTGGCAGCAAAAATCCCTCTAGTTTTCAGCCTTCCTTTACTGTCTTCTCTTTTCTTTTTCTTTCCAGGTTCACCTTCTGTGCCTACTAGCAAATGGCTTCTATCGAAATAACATCTGCAACCAGCCCGATCTGCAGGCTATTGGCCTCTCCATCATCCCAGCTCGCTTTACCAGAGTGCCTCCTCAAGACGTGGATATCTACTACCTGTCAAACCTGGTGAAATGGTATGGCCCTCCAACCTGTCTTGCAAAGCCTTAGTGTAGGATTCGTGTGTCTCTCAGAGGTTGAGTGCAAGTCACTTCCACAGACATCCCCTGAGATGATCCTGTGTGCCAGGCAGTGGTCATGGTATTGAAGGTAGAGAAATGTCAGGCATAATCTCTGTCCTGAAAGAGCTCCCAGGTTGGTCAGGAAGACAGATACACCCCAAGTAATTAGAGTAGTATAACAAGTACTCCGGAAGAGGTGTGCTCTGGACTGTGGGCACACAGAGCAGGGCCACTTAACTCAGCTGCAGGGTCTGGGAATGCACCCCAGGAAGGGGAAGGCTCCCCAAGGAAGTGAAGTCTGAGTTGGGTCTTCAGTGATGAGTAGGAGTTAGCCAGACATGGTGGGAAGAGTAGAACAGAGGCAGATGAGGCTCCCCCTTTTGATTTTCTTGGCTATAAAAGAACAGCATTTCTCTTTGCTCTGACCTCTGACACAAGGAAATGCCTGGTTTCTCTCCAGGTTCATTGGAACATTTACAGTTAACACAGACCTTTCAACAAATGAACAAGATGACCTACAGACTACGTTGGAAAGGAGATTTGCTATTTACTCTGCACGAGATGATGAAGAATTGGTCCACGTGAGTGATTCCTCCTGGCAACACTTTTTATTAGTACCCGTAGCAAATGACGATGACAGTCATGTGCCAGATGCCATTCCAGGTGGTTTTTATTCAGTTCTCATAAAATAAAAAATAGGTACTGAAGCTCAGAGAGGCTAAGTAACTTTCTTAATTGGCAAGTATTGGAATCATGATTGGGACCAGTGTGTGAGTTGAAAGCATACCCTCTTTCGTTTCTATTACTTGGTATTCTGGTGTGTTAAAGCACTGAATTTTTGGTCAAGTGCTCTAGAATTATTTCTGCTAACTATTCATAATTTGTGTTCAAAAGTTCCAAGGAAATATTATACCAAATTTGAAATCCTTGAGAAATCCTTGAGAAAGTGTTTCTATACCTTCCGATTTGGGTAATGACAGTGGCAGGCAGCCATGCAGTAAAGAAAATTGTATCCATCAAAAGGAGTTGTGGTGAGGAGCTCTTAAATGTAGACAGGCTTTTATCAAACACTTGAAAATACCCTTAGGTAAGGTTCTGTCTGAATGAAACAAAAATGGTGGTAGAAATATGGTTTTATCCCTGGAAGATTCCTATTAATGCATGTACTTGTGCCTGAGCCCCACATTCCCTGTTTGCTTAGGAAAAGAGACCAGACTTTTTGTATCTTCAAGGCTAGATAACTTGCATCTTTACCTCTCTTTTTCTGATTTGGCTTGATAAAGTCTAAGATAACTGGCATAGCCAGTAATTATGCTATAATTCCACTACCCAAAGGAAAACATTAATATTTAAGTATTGTTTTCCCAGACTTTGTTCCTGTGTATTTGTGTACATATATATTTGTTTATGGGTTTTTTAAAAGCAAAAAAAATAGTTTTTTTAAAAAAGCAAACAATTCAGTGACATTTAGTGCATTTAGAGTATTATGTAAGCGCCACCTCTATTTCCAAAACATTTTTGCTACCCCAAAAGGAAATCCTGTACCCATTAAACAGTTACTCCCCATTCTACTCTTCTTCCCACCCCTTCAAGCACCTAGCACCTCTAATGTGCATTCTTTTTCTGTAGATTTACATATTCTGGATATTTCATATAAAAGAAATCATACAACATTTGACCTTTTGTGTCTAGCTTCTTTCACTTAGCATAATAATTTCAAGGTTCATCTACATTTGTGGATTGTGTCAGTACTGCATTCCTTTTTTATGGATGAATAATATTCCTTTGTATAGGTATACCACATTTTGTTTATTCATTCAGTTGATGGACATTTAGTTGTTTCCACCTTTTGGCTATTATGAAGAGAACTGCTGTCAGTATGTGTACATATATCTGTTGAGTAATCGTTTTCAGTTCTTTTGGGTATAAACCTAAGAGTGGAGTTGCTGGGTCAGAAGGTAATTGTATGTTGAACTTTTTGAGAAATTGCCAAACTTTTCTACAGTAGCTGCACCATTTTTACATTCCCACCAGCAATGTTTCAGAGTTCCAATTTCTCCAAATCCTCACCAACACTTTTATTTTTCTTTCTTCTTCTTTTTTTTTTATAGTCATCCTAATAGGTATGAAGTGGTATCTCATTGTGGTTTTGATTTGCATTTCCTTGATGACTAATGATGCTTGACAACTTTTCATGTGTGTATTGACCATTTGTGTATCTCCTTTGGGGAAATGTCTATAAAAACATTTTACCCATTTTTTAATAGAATTCTTTGTCTTTTTGTTGTTGAATTGTAAGAGTTCTTTATATATTTTGGATACTAGACATTCATCAGATATATGCTTTGCAAATATTTTTTCCCATTCTGTAGGTTGTCCTTTCACCTTCTTAAGAAAGTCCTTTGATACACATAAGTTTTAATTTTGACAAAGTTCAATTTTTCTGTTTTTCTTTTGTTCCTTATACTGTTGGTGGGATATCTAAGACTCCATTGCCAAATCCAAGATCATAAAGATCTCCTCCTATATTTTGTTCTAGGAGTTTTATAGTTTTAGCTCTTACAATGTTTATTGTATCAGTTAACATAATAAGTTGTCAACTAAACCATAGATACTATTTGGATTTTTCAAGTTTTTCCACTAAAGCCTTTCTTCTGTTCTAGGATCCAACCCAGAATACCATGTTGCATTTAGTCATCATGTCTGCTTGGTCTCTTCCAATCTGTGACAGTTTCTCAGTCTTCTGTTGTCTTTCATTACCTTGATGTTTTTGAAGAGTGCTGTTTTAGGAATTTTGTAGTGTGTCCCTCAATTTGGTCCCTGATATTTTCTTATCTCCCTGTCTTTCACTTCGGAAGAAACAAGGCAAAAGTAATTATTTTTTAAATATAACATGGCTTTTCACAGAAAAGCTGCCTTCTTGTTTCTGATTTTTACCCCTGGCTTTCTCAGTAGGGTATTACGGTAATTCATGAGAAACACTGGGACCCTGAGATCTGTGTAGGAAGATCTTGCTCAGTTGCTTTATCACTGCTGCAGTTTTGGAGGTTAATTCCCATGAGGAGGCTCCCATTCTTCCAAGTTTATAGAATGCTTAGAACTGCAGCCTCCAGTTAAAAGATTCATTGTGGGGAAAATAGAATAGAGGGAATAGACTTCGGGCATCCGATAATTATGTTTTCCATATTTTCTTTTCAAAGTGATGTCTCGTTTTATTTACTTTAATCACAAACATAGCATATGTTGAATGCAAAACAATCAAAAGATAGGTAAGCTGGAAAAAAAACACTTGTAAATACCCATAACCCAGTATATAGGTTCTTTTTAAAATATATATGTATTTAGATTTATATACAATTTATTCTTACAAAAATTAACATTAAAAAACAAACTTCTATTTTCCTTTACTATATGGCATACAGTTTCCCATTTTTCTACAAAGGTAAATCTTAGCAGTATCATTTTTAATAGTATCAAGGGTTTCAGACTCTTATTTTTGACAGCTTGGTTGTTTTTACTTTTCTCTGTTATCAATAAGCACCACGACAAGCAACACCGAATTAATTAAATCTTTAAATTTTTTCTTAGGATAAGTGCGTTATTCTTTTTATTATAGATATTTTTACTGATTCTCCGGGCCCTGCAGCTTCCAACCCGACTGGTATTGTCTCTACAGCCAGTTCCTCTGAAGTTATCAGCAACCAAGGTAAAGTTCTCAGGACTTCTAGAGAAAAAGGTAGTTGGTCGGAAAGGAGTTAGAAATGATCAGAATTAAAAAAATTAGTTGTTAAGACTGTTTTTAAGGGTCGGTATTCATGGAGCATGGGTTTCTTTGAGACTGTCTTGCACAACCCTGGGAAGGCAAGACTGGACACACGGATGGATATCTAGCAATCTGAGCTTTTGCATGTGCAAAGGAGCCTACGGCAGATCTTGGCTCCTGGTGCTTTAGTTTCTCTTCTGTAAAATGGTAGAATGGTACCTGTCCTCCTTAGCAGCAGTGTGGAGTGATGATGGGTGAAGGACTCTGAATTCTGCAGTCATCTAAGAAGGAGGCTGAATACTCTACTCACTGGGGTTTTGGCATTGTCTGAAACTTGATGGTCCAGATTTTAATAATTTCTGTATTATTAATACTTTAACTTTGTTAAGTCCATCAGTATTTGCAAAATGCGTTATGTGCAAGGTGAGTATTATTGTTGCTGAGGAAACCGGAGCGCAGAAGTTACATAATTTACCTAAATCACATAACATGAGATACAGAACACTGAACCCAGGTTTGTCACATAACATGAGATACAGAACACTGAACCACATAATACAGATACAGAACACTAAATCACATAACATGAGATACAGAACACTGAACCCAGGTTTGTCTCTTTCCACATTCGGTGCTTTTTTGCCTGTGCCACAGTTTAGAGTAAAAGGAATTATATTGTGGCCTTGTCTTAGGTGCTATAGATTTTAGCAAATATTTTCTTACAACTCAAAAGGATAGCCAGTCAATCACTGTCTGAGTTGGGGACATCTTGTGTATGCTAGTTCTCCAGCCAGTGACTTAGCCCCATTAGATGACAGGATCTCTGTCCTAACATTAGCAAAAAAGAAAAAGCAAAACTTCTCTTCTGTTTAAGGGAAAGAAACCTTCTAAGGAGAGATCCACAGAGTGTCCTGGAGGCTCTGCAGAAACTTCTAGCCAAGTTCCAGAAAACCAAACCAAACCGAAGACCAGCAGAGAAACTAGACAAGAGGACACCACTTCTAAGAGCGCTGGCAGTCCAAGTGTCAAAGGGAAGAGGAGCAAAGCAGCCGCCATCAAGAAGAAACAGAAAGAGCCTCCCTCCAGTGGGGAAGAAGAAGTCAAAGTGGAAAAGCAGGAGAAGAAAACTCAGAGACGTGTGCGTGGCCAGAAGCGGCGGGTGGCCTCTAGGGTGTCCTATAAAGAAGAGAGTGGGAGTGACAAGGCCAGCAGTGGCTCTGACTTTGAGCTCTCTTCTGGGGAAGCCCATCATTCATCCAGTGAGGATTGTGAGCCTGGCCCTTCAAGACAGAGGAGGGCCTCAGCCCCTCAGAGGACAAAGGCAGGTTCCAAAAGTGACTCCAGAACCCAACATGGAAGCCACCCTAAGCACCCAGGCTTTCCAGCAGCATCTGCAAGTTCTTCAAGCAGTAAGAGTAAGAGAGGCAAGAAAATGTCCAGTGATGGTGAGGAAACAGAAAGAGGGAAAGCAGCTGGTGTAAACCAGTGGCTTGAGGTATTCTGTGAGCAGGAGGAAAAGTGGACATGTGTGGACTGTGTGCATGGCGTGGTGGGCCAGTCTCCGACATGTTACAGATATGCCACGAAGCCCATGACCTACGTTGTAGCCATCGACAATAATGGCTGGGTCCGGGATGTCACCCAGAGGTATGATCCAGCCTGGATGACAGCGACTCGCAAGTGCCGGGTTGATGCCAAGTGGTGGGCGGAAACCTTGAGACCCTACCAGAGCCCATTGGTGGAAAGGGAAAAGAAAGAAGACTTGGAGGTAAGGACTCAGTTGCCACAGACATGAAGAGCCCGTCCAGTTATTAAAATTATTCTCATTTCGAGCACCTTATATATTCCTAGCTTAGCCTGTGTTGGGTATTTTTGATATTTATCTCATTAATTATCACAACATTATAAAGCTGGGATTATTATTGCCTTAATTTTACTAGTTAAAATTTTAGGATCCAAGAGATTAACTGACTTGATATTTTAACCCAGGCGTATCTAACTTTGAAGCCTGTATGCTTTTAGTTATTGCCCAGTTATAAATTTGGAGCTTTCCAATAATTTTTGCAAGTCATATAAGTCATACTAAGTCAAAGAAGAAAAAACTCATTGTTTTCCCCTTTCTCATCATGCACACTCGTACAAGCACGTACACAAACAGCCCTCCACAGATCTAGAACACTTATCTCCTGGGAAGAAAGGGACTTGAGATGAGGAAATATCTGTTGAGAAGACACACTGGAAGCCAACTTCTAAAACAACATAGTGTGTCACTTGGTGCTAGGAGGAAAGCCTGAGTCGCTAGTGCAAGGGCAGTTGTGTTAAGTGGAGCTCGGCATTTCCACCTGGGAACAAGCCCAGATTTGCAAAGAATTATTCCCAGTTCCTCAGGATGGGTGAAACCAGGCTTATTTTAGTGTTCAATGCTGTTTAACCTGCATTGAGAGTTTGCTCTGGGGCATTCCCGGTTCATTTTACTTAAAAATTACAGAGTAAATGGGAGTTGTTCATATGGTATTGTGACTAACCTAATTAAAGTCTTCATACTGGAAGCGGACCTCATGGAGGAGGGTCCATCTTACTCCTGGCCACTCCACATTGCCAGTCCTCACTCATGTATCGAGGGTTTCAGAAAGTACTAAAGGAAATATTAGGAGACCTGGGTGAATAGGATGTGAATTACAGTAGTGGAATTGCCCACGGAGAAATCAGAATCCTTAAAGAAATACTAATAGAACATGTATTATAGTGAACTTAGAAAAAAAAAAAAGGCATAGGGTGAACAACTCATTTCCATTTCCTGTGAGTGCAGTCATGGTAAACCATGTTGCAGAATAGTGATATCACTTTACGATAAGGCCTCTTTCCTTTAGAAAGCTTTATGGTTTTCTACCTTGAAGCTCCTTAATAGAGCAGGCACTGATCTGTGAGGGCTGGCTAAGGTGTCTCTGGACTGGGAATAGGTTAGATGACTTTCCAAAGTTGCCACTAGCCACAGAATTACTTGGTTCTTCATAGCTGTCTATTTACCTAAAACCTACTTAACATCAGAGCTACAATGCAGTGTTAGTCATTAGTGCTCGTGAAACCTCTGCTCCACTGTTATCTGAATAAGTTGGTCTGAAGATCACCCACCTCAACCCTCACTTCCTCTTCTAAACCACACACTCAACATCGTCTTTCTGGCCTTTGCAGTTTCAGGCAAAGCACCTGGAACAGCCTTTGCCCACTGTCATTGGCACATATAAGAACCACCCTCTGTACGCCTTGAAGAGGCATCTCTTGAAATATGAGGCCATCTATCCTGAGACAGCTGCGATCATTGGTTATTGTCGTGGAGAAGCTGTCTATTCCAGGTGCGTGAGGCAGCCCGGTAGCTTTGTGGGCTTCCTGATGGCTTGGGATTATCAACCTTCTTCTAGGGCAAGTGGCTGATAACATCATTCATCTCATTTGTCAAACAGGGTGAGCTTCATAGTGCGTGAGTGTGCTATTGTGTGGGGACAGTGTAGGAAAGATTGAAGCTTGGAAGTTAAAATGATGAGGACGAGCAGAGAGAGGAAAAAGTTTAGGGGAAAAACTAAAAGTAAAGCAAAATAAGGCTTATATAGGATGATATAAACACATCTCTCAAATGTAAGTTGAAAACACAAAAGTAAAGAAGAAAATTTGATAATAAAAATTAAAATGAGTAGTTATTTTAATGGGTACAGAGCTTCTGTTTGAGCAGATGAAAAAGTTCTGGAGATGAATGGTGGTGATGGTTGCATAACTATTTAATGCCACTGAGCTATACACTTAAAAATTATTAAGATGGTAGATTTTATGTTGTGTATATTTTATCCATAGTCAAAAGAAATTACCAAAGAAGGAGAGAAGGGAATAAGAGTAGAAAATGAATGCAAAATGTATACAAAATTAAAAATTTATAATGCAAATTTAGGGTAAGGAAAAAATAGAAGCAGAACTTTTAAGGAATAGCAATAGAAAGAAAATAAAAGTGTTTTTTTTTCTTTAAATTGAAATATAAGATCAGAAAATAGAGGATATCCTTAAGAAATGGGAAAAGAAAGAGAAAAAAAAGGAAACTCATGAGTAGGTGGTTTGAGTCCTCTGACTGAGGACTCCCTCCTCGTGTCAGCCCTGCAGGGAGTCATCCAGACCCTCTGTCCAGGGTCTGTGTTGCAGCTTTCTGGTGCACGTCAGAAGGGTCATACCTGGTCAAGAGCCTCACCTACCAACAGTCAAAGGCCTTCAGGACCCATGCCACCTTGATAGAGGATAAAGCACAGGCTTCCTCAGGTACTTGAGAGAGAAGAAGTTTGGGGGGAAGGATGTGCCAGCATGGTCCACAGGGACCATGTCAGTCACAGGAGAAAGTATTAAAGGTGGATATTTCTTTTTAATGTGGTAAAATATGCATAACAAAATTTACCATTTAACCATTTTTAAGTGTACAGTTCAGTGTCATTAAGTATGTTGACACTGCTCTGCAGCCATCACCACCATCTATCTCCAGAACTTTCATCTTCCCAAACTGAAACTCTGTGCCCGTTAAACACCAACTCTCTAATTCCCCCTTCCCCCAGCCCCTGGCAAGCACCATTCTACTTTGTCTCTATATAAATGAACTCAACAGTATCAAAGCTTTTGTAACTGGCATCCAGTGATGGACACATGTGTTGCTTCCCCTTTTGGCTATTATGAATAATGCTGCCATGAACACAGGAGTACAAATATCTCTTTGAGACCCTGCTTTCAGTTCTCTTGGATATATGCCCAGAAGTGGAATTGCTGGATCATATGTTAATTCTGTGTTTAACTTTCGAAGAACTGATGTACTATTTTCCACAGGGGCTGCACCATTTTACATTCCCACCAGCAGAGCACAAGGGTTTTAGTTTCTCAGCATCCTCATCAACACTTGTTTTCTGTTTTTTGATAATGAGCCATCTCTAATGGGTATGACGTGGTTAGAAGTTGAGATTTATTCTGAGAGGTGTATGCCTACTTCCCTCTGCTATCCTTAGAGATGTCCAGACAAAGCATACTTGCTTCCCCCTCCTCCCTGCCTTCCCCTCTCCTATCTGAAGACTATGACCATGACATAATTACTCCTTTGGGCAATCAGAGATGTGCAGCCTGCAGTGGGAGTGTGGCTAGAGCTCTCAGCTCTGACAGTGATGCTATGGACAGAGAAGCACTGCTCCAGCACCTGGCAAGTGTCTGGTCTTTCTAGCAACCTTACGAGGCAGGGAGGACAGAGCTCATCCCTAAGTGATAGAGGAGGATACTGAGGCTCAGGAAGGGAAAGACTTCCCCAGAGAGGGCTGCTAGGAGGTGGCACAGAGGTTTGCCTTGTGTCTGTTGTACTGTGCTGAACATCAGCCTCAGACTGAAGGGTAGGTGAAGAGCCTGATTTCTGCAGTGGAAGGAAACTTAGTGCCCGTGCTCATCGGAGCCTCACTCTCTGGGCAGAGTTTAGGGCTGCAAACTGAAGAGGAGATGGGCGTGCCTTGTTAAAGGAGGCTCAGCAAGGAAAGCAGTTGAAACTTGTTGGAAAGTAGAATTGCAAGGCTGGGGTATAGCTCTTAGCTCTGGAAGAAAGAGTAAAGCCAGAAGATCTGTCCCCATAATCACAGGCTCCCAGGAATTATTTGACTGTTTCATGGGCATGAGTCTTAATTCTATGATGATTTAGTACTGTATTATAATTTCCATGTAGACTTATTTTGGGTTCACCACTTCTTCTCTGGACATTCGTCCCTCACACCTCAATGTTTAGCAGCAGACTAGACCCTGGGCAGGTACTTGCTCAATGATGAGGAAATGTGTTCGCACTGCTGTGCTGTCGCCCCATACAAGCTGCAAAGGGACTCTCACTGTGGGAGGAGAGTTGAGGGCATAGCATGAAGCCTAAGACAGACACAGTAACTCCATGAGGTTAGGATTTGTAAGTGGATGCATATACCTCCCCCCCAAAACAGGAAGTCCAAATTAGCTTTGTGCCTAAGGCAAGTCCCCTGCTTCCCTCAAGAGCAGGGCCTGCTTCAGGGCATGAGGCAGAGCCTGAGGGGAGAATCAAGGTCCTCGTTCTTCCTTTTGGGAGGTCATAGGGACACTTGGGTCTTGGGGGTTCCTTTGCATACTGTGTTCCATTAGGCAGGGTGTGAACTGAATTTGTCCTTTGTCTTCCCTGTTGGCTCCGGTAGGGATTGTGTGCATATCCTGCACTCCAGGGATACGTGGCTGAAACAAGGAAGAGTGGTGAGGCTTGGAGAAGTGCCCTACAAGGTAACCAGAGCTAGGGGTGGGGACGGCCTTTAGAGCTGTTAGGGAGGCTGAGGACCAAGGAGGAATGGAACAGCTGAGGGCAGAAGAGTGGTGACTAAGAGCTGCTGAGTGCATGCTCAGAAAAGGAATCCAGGTCTGAACTTCTCTGACTTGAGAAGGATTAGAGGAAGAGAGAAGCATTTAGATTATGTCTTTAAGGAGGAATTTGTAAGAGATGAATCTTCCAGCGTATGCAAGAAATCAAGGCCAAAAAGCAGCCCTCAGACTCCTGGTGTATATTCAGAGGCTATGTAGATCTGAACCATGTTACTGAGTTGTTCTACAAGGCCAAAGCCCTGCTTCATGTAGATACATTCACCAGTCGTCAGTGCCCTTCCGTTTGACAACTCGCTATGCATTTTACATGTATGTGACCTCTAATGAGTCTCAACAAGCACTGGAGTTAGCATTATGATGCCCATTTTACAGGTGAGAAAACAGCCCAGAAAGGGCAGATGACTTGTCCAAGGCCTTACAGTTAGGGAAACAGCAGCACCCAGACAAGAATCTCAAGCCCTGTCTCTACTCCAGTGTTCTTTCTCTCCCAGTGTGCTGCTGCACTGGGTCAGGTCAGCTGCCCACGAGAAACATGAATTCAGTCCAGTACTGCAAATGCTTGTCACAGGACACATGATTTCATTCAACCAAGGAGGACAATGGCCAGTCACAGAGAGACACAGTTGCCCTTCTTTGTCAGATCCTAGAAGGAGCCCTTTGGGTTGTGGTCTCTGGGGAGCCAGGCAGGTGTTGGAAAGGCCTACAGAAGGGGCTGTAGGCATTGGGCGCGGGTCACCCCAAAAAGCAGGCTTGAGTGCGTCATTGCTGCCTTGGACCTGGATGATCACTGTGGTTTCCTATAGACCTTCACCTTTCTTTTATGTTCCTTATCAAATAACCAGTCTCTTTATCATGGAATGGCACTGTCTGAAATATAATGTGAGCCACAAACTTAAGTTTTTTAGTAGCTACATTAAAAACTCAGAGGTGGGATTTTAACATTCTTAAATATATTTGAAATATCATTTCAACATATAATATTTTGAAATGTTAATGAACTGTTTTACATCCATTTTCTTATTAAGCCTTCGGAACCTAGTATTTCACTTTCAATACATCTCAGTCCCGACCAGCCACATTTCAAATGTATGGTAGCTATCATTAATGCAGTTCTAGCATAACCCCAAATCTCAAGTCCTCTCCTTGTTCTGAAACCTCCTTTCTCAGCTCCAGCCTCTGCCTTATCTTCCTTGCTTAGATCATAGCCACTTTCAGCCCCTCAGTTCATTTCTAACATTGCAGTCATGAGATCTTTCTGAAGTAGAGTTGCATGTGAGACCTCTTGAATAGCCCACCCTCACCCTGCCTGGAGTCCCATATCTTTCATGTGACACAGAGATTTGTGGTGCTCAGGTGCCCACCTGCTCTCTGGCCACACTTTCTCCTGCATGTCAGACAACTTCCACAGTTCCCATGTCCCTTTGGTCCCAAACAGCTTTCTCTCCAGCCCTTTTCACTTGACGAATCCCTCTTTGCCCTTTCAGACTTGGCTCAGGTGGGGCCTTTTCTGAATAGCTTGTCCTAACATCTCCCTGCTTGGGGCTGGGTGAAGGGTCCTGCCTCTGAGGCCCATTTCACCCTGTACTCTTTACACTGATTTGTAGCCTCTGTTCTCCCACAGGAACCTGTTCTCCTTAAGAACAAAGGTTGCCCCTCCTTTGCCTCTAACGATGGGTATCATGGTATGGTCTGTAGTAGGTGCTCAGTGGATCTTTACTGAACAACACTGGATGAATGACTTCCTCAGAAAGAGACTGTCAGCCCTATAGAGGGGTGACAGAGGTGGGGTGCCCAGAGACCATGGTAGGAATGGCCACTAGAGCAGCAGTCAACAGTCCGTAGTTTGCAGGTCACATCCACTCTGGGTCCAGTTTTGATCTCAGAATGGTTTTTACATTTTTTTATGGATTGTAAAAGAAGGAAAATAAAGAATATGCAGCAGAGGCTGTACATGACCCTTTATAGAAAAAGTTTTGCGATCCTTGCACCAAGAGTCAATCCTTAACCTACACCTATGCCACTCCTCCTTGTAGAAGTTATGCAACCTTTTCCTCCCTGCCAGTTCTTCAACCTTTTCACTCCTTTACTTCCCAGTGAAAGTTTTGGTGTTGGCCACAAGACATCTGTGGGGAAGCATGCTAGGGGGCCCAAATTGTCAGTTCCTCCCAGGGTACATGCCACACTCAGTTATCTGGGTTTAAATCCTGGCCCTGTCAGTCAGTTGGCCATGGGATCTTAAGTAAGTGACAGCATCTCTGAGTCCCAATTTCCTCTTTGGTGTTGAAAGTACAGAACATAGTAATCCCCCTTTATCCGTGGTTTTGCGTTCTGTGGTTTCAGTCACCCGTGATCAGTCACGGTCTGAAAATACCGAGTACACATGGGGCCCTGAGAACAGTTCCTGGGACAGTGAGCACTCTGTGGATGTTAGCTGGTGGTAATGGTAGTGGTATGAGTGATCATAAAGAGGATAAAAAGCACACCCATCTCAGGCTTGCTTGTTGTAGTTTGTTTTGTAACAGGTGCAAAGCCCTGAGCACAGTGCCAGCTGTACAGTAAGTGCTCAGGAAGTGGTAGCCTTGTTGTAAACTGGCCGTTCCCTTTGGCGTAGATGGTGAAAGGCTATTCCAACCGGGCCCGGAGAGCCCGCCTTGCTGAGCCCCAGCTACAGGACCACAATGACTTGGGCCTGTTTGGCAAGTGGCAGACAGAGGAGTACCAGCCGCCCGTGGCTGTGGATGGCAAGGTAAGGGCAGCACTCAGTGGAGCCAAGACCAGGCCACTTCATACTGCAACTGGCTAAACCTGGCATGCCACCCCCTGCAGGTCCCCCGGAATGAATTTGGGAACGTGTACCTCTTCCTGCCCAGCATGATGCCTATCGGCTGTGTCCAGCTGAATCTGCCCAACCTGCAGCGCGTGGCCCGTAAGCTGGACATCGACTGTGTCCAGGCCATTACCGGCTTCGATTTCCATAAAGGCTACTCGCATCCCATGTGCGTGAGGGGACTTTCGTGGAGGCTGGAAGGAGGGGTGGGAAGGTCACAGTGATAGATGTAGGAAGTTGATGAGAGGTTGGTGGGGGTTGAGGTCCAGTGGTTCTTACTTTCCGGGTTTTACTTTGACACTTTCACTCATTTTCATCCAGAGGCAGCAAAACCAGTGAAACCAGCATCCTAATGTTGGATTAGAACACTGTTTTCTGTTGGTGGTCACAGATGATCTAGTGGGGTCAGCACTTTCCTAGCTCTCATTCCATCTCTTAGGCAGGGCCTGGGGAAGCAGCAGTGCCAGTGTCCTCAGGCCTGCCTTCTGCATGGGTGGTATCTGTTAGCAGTATTGTGGTACAGTATTGTGACCCAGGAAATCCTTCAAGGCCCCAAGTTCTTAGGAGCAGCTTATTGTCCTTCACAATGGGGAGGAAGAGGCCAGAGCAGGCAGCAAGCTTAAGGAAGACCACCCATATTGCATCCCCACAGAACTGAAGGGTACATAGTCTGCGAGGAATACAAAGATGTGCTCCTGGCCGCCTGGGAAAATGAGCAGGCACTCATTGAAAAGAAGGAGAAGGAGGTAAGCAGCCTGGCATGGGTGGGCCTGGTGAGGGGCTGAGGTAGGAAAGCAAGCACACAGGTAAGGCAGGTGCCTCACTTGTTCTAAAGCTCTTTCTGTCTTCCTGACTCTATGAAGGCACCCTAGGGAGCCAGCATTGGATAAAACAGGGTCCTGCCTACACCTCAGAATCCACTATCACTGTCAACTGTCTGCTGGATCCTGCCCTGTTGCCAATACTTGCCTCTATTAAAAGGAATTGTCTGGGGTACAGTTCTGGACAGCCTCTTCCCCTAAAAATTTGAGAGTCAGAAATAGTTAAAAAGAGGTTTGGGGTTTGGTGCCTTCCGTGTGTATCACTTTTAAAATCACTCCAATTTTAAAACTGAGACTTCATATAATTGAGAAACTTTTTAACCTAAAATAATATCGTATATCTTTATTTATATACACACACACACACACACCCAGGTTCCATCTTGAAAATGGCAGTTATTAACATTTTATGCTTTCCCATTTCATTTTTGCTGCAGAAAAAGGAGAAGCGGGCTTTAGGGAACTGGAAGCTGCTGGCCAAAGGACTGCTCATCAGGGAGAGGCTGAAGCTTCGCTATGGGGCCAAGGTCAGTGTGGGTCCTCGTTAAAGACAAGCCTGGTGTGGTGAATGGGGAGACTCAGAAATCACTGCCCCAGATTTTTCCCAGACATCAAATCATAGCTTTAGGTTTTGATGTTTCAGATCAGTGTCTCCAAGGCCCCATGTCCTTACCTTATGGGGAAGCATGTCACTGGAGTCAGCCTCAGCTATCTCTTCTGCCCCAGCCCTGCCCCAACATCCTCTTTTCTGCTCCTGTATGCATGAGTAAGTGCCTACTGTGGGTCTGCTCTGGTGTAAACTCATATAGGGAAAGCAGAGTTCTTGCCTTTCTGTGGTGCTCCCAGTGTCTATGACTATCCTTCAGGCCAGGAGTTGCTAATTTAGTACACCTCTCACAGCACCTACCATGTGGCAGACCAGCTGGTGAACACAGGTGCATATTTGACATGCAGCCCCCAAGGGACCGGCCCCTAGACAGTTATGTGGTACGATCAGTACTTGGTCAGAGACAGCAGAAACATGCCCTGGGAAAGGCTGTAACCATGACTCTCCAGCCCCACCTGCCTTTAAAAAATATTCTTGTCATGCTTTTCCCTCAAATCCCTTCAGCGACTCCTTCACCTGGCTTCATGTTCTGACTGGTTTCTTCCCACTGCTGTGCTTTCCACCTTGTGCATCCAGCTCCCCACCCCAGCTGGCCCAGGTTCAGGGAGTGCCACCTCGGAGCATTGGGCACTGAGAGTTAGTACTGTGCATTGAGGAAGTTAAAGATACATGCACTTCTGTTCAGAAATGAGTAATAATGAGAAACCCCAGCCACAGTGATCTCCTAGATGTCGTTATACTCTCCTTGAGGGTAGTTTCCTGCCTAGACATCCTGGCATTTCCTCAGCTCCTAAGTTACCAGTATTTGCTTGGATGAGCCCCCAGTCTGAGGAAGGCACAGGAAGATGGGGTTTAGCTCTCCCTCAGCCCCTTGCAGCACCCTTGTTCCCTCCTAGAGCCACACAGCTTCAGGCAGGCTATTGGTGGAAGCTTTACTGCCTTGAGATAGTGCTTCCTTATGTCTGTCTGGTCACTGACCTGTGGTCTGTTTCCCCTCCACTTCCCCACCTCTCCAGAGTGAGGCAGTAGCTCCCCATACAGATGCAGGAGGTGGACTCTCTTCTGATGAAGAGGAAGGGACCAGCTCTCAAGCAGAAGCAGCCAGGATCCTGGCTGCCTCTTGGCCTCAAAACCGAGAGGCTGAAGAAGAGCAGAAGCCAAAGTACCCTAAGAGGACCAGAAGAGAAAAGGCGACAGCTTCCCACCTGTTCCCATTTGAGAGGCTGTGATATGAGTGGCCACTTTGTCATAGGCTCTGACTCAAGGGTCCTACATCTGCCACAGGGGATGCTCAGGTCCTGGGGTGGTGGTGTCTCCATTGAGAAGACAAACAGAAGCAACATGCACTGCAGACAAGGGCCAGGGGACAGAAAGGTCAGGCTGAGGTAGTGCTGCAGGTCTGGTCTGGCCCCAGGTCTTGTCAGATTCACCCAGCATAGGGCTTTCGAAGCTTTTTGCTCCCTCACCCTATGCTTTGAGCTATGGAACACTTGCCCAGAGACCCTCCTGTCACCTAGACTCATTTTTCCCATCTTTGGAAACATCAGTTCTTTTAGAAACTACTGGGAAATTTTCAGACAATGGTGCATTAGGAATGCAGTTTTTTCTCTAGATAGGTTCTTCATCTATCAGACACTTGTGCTCTTGGCTCTCTTGCAGACTTTGGACTTCTCTCTGCAGGCCACTCATTCCTCAGTCATGTTTACTAATACTGCCCAATGCTGCCTCTGTAGTATGGGGAGTCCAAGACATCTCAGACTGTGGTATTATTGGGATCCACTTTTCAAAATAACATTTCGTGGTGGCAGAAGACTCGAACAAAGCCAAAATCAGGAACAAAAAGGAAAATCACTGAGAATTAAAGAAATGTTGGTAAAAGTGGATCAGTGTTAAACTAGATTTTACTCATTACTGGATAAATTTATAAAGCTCTATGCACTGTAGATATTCAAGAGAAATAACATTTGTAACATTTTGAGAAAAAAATAAAGCATTTATCTAAAACGCAGCTCTACATATTTTCAGATTTTACGTCAGCTAAGAAAACCTAATAGAGTTAATTTGTACACATAATGAGACTACATTGAAGATGAGATTTTGTTGTTATGTAGGCTGGGAACTTACTATACACATGGAATTTTATTTATTTTTTTCTATGTTTAAGCAAGGAGATATTACTTAATCTTTGATGGGAGCTGTTAAGAATTTGAATCAGTTTTATCCAAGGGAAACAAACAAAACACTTGAGGTGTGACTCATATGCACAAGAGCCTGGCTGGAAGGCTCTTGTTGAGAAACAAACTGAGGTTGTCATGGAAACTGCAGAGCTTTACACTTCCTGCATCAGAGCCCTTTCTCTCCTTGAGGTAAACGACTTTTCTCTGAATTGAGTCAAGAGTATCACCCTGTCTCTGCAGAAATATCTTGTTTTTCAGGCAGATGTTAGCTCCTAGGAGGCACTATGAAAATCAAATGAAACATTCAGTTTTGAGAAATATGAGAGGTTTTAGAAAGCTATCACTCACCTGCTTCAAATCTTGTAACAATAAGTACTCAAATTGCTAGCTTCAGAGTACACGATTAGTAGCAGTCCATTGCTTCAGAATAGGAGGCAAAAAGAATTTAGTTACATCACGAGTGTTTGGCATTTCATGGGCTTTTTCCAAGTTAGTTCCCACAACAACTTTGTGGGGTAGAACGGCAGTGTCCCCATTGTACAGATGAGGAAACCAAGGCTCAGAGAGCATTGGTTTTCCCAAGATAACACAGCCAGTCAGTGGCGGACTTGGGACAGGAATTTGAGTCTTTGCCAACCCAAAGCCGATGATGCCTTTTGCACTGTATTGGGCTGTGGTTCCATCCCACGTCTTTCTTCTAGCACATTCTGAAGATGGGTGAAGTGTGAGTCATTCACTTTATATCCATCCAAAACAAAGTAAGCTTTGATATATAAGGCTTCTAAGTGCTAGGAATATGATTTGCCCTTAAAAAAAAAATTCAAACCTATTTTAACCACTAAAAGCACTCAGGACTGTGTTCTAAAATCCTTATAGTTCTTAACTAAATTCTATGGCTGAATTCTTTTAGAAACTTGAGAAAGAATACAAAAACAAAGTGACAAGGTCCTATAAAAGATTTAGAAATTTATTTTTATTTTCTATCAAAAATACAAAGATAATACAAATTTTATGATTTTCCAGAGGCTTCAAATATTTCTTAACATTATTTTGCTTAAAATTGGCAGTAATTTAAAATCTAAACTAGGAAAAATTATACAGACCAAATCCCAAGGATTTTGTATTTTTAGCCATCATCTAGTTATACTGTTTTCCAAAAGCATTCTTTGAGGATTTAGATATTCAGTGAATTCAGTGAAATTGCTCATAATGAGCAGCAGTGAATACCATTTCAGTCTTTAAACCCAGATAAATTGTCTCTGCGGCTGGCTGTCTTTAACACAAAGAATCTGTTTATAGTAGATACCCCAGGACAACATAAGAGATTATTAGATCACTATTTTAGCAAGTACTTAACTTGCTAAAGGAACCACTCCCAGCAAGGCAGAACAATTTCCACATAGTAAAAAGATAAAGAATCTTTTAGGACATCAAGGTTACAACATACTTTATCTTTCAAAGGATGTGAGAGTAATTGGGAAACCCAGAAATTATGTGAATTAAGCGTGAGTAGGTTTATTTAGGAAGAGCAAAGCTGTGGACACTTAACAGATAAATCACTCAGAAGCAGCCACTTGAGCCCTGGCTGCTAATGTCAGAAGTACTCCCATGATGAAAGAGGCCAGGCAAGGCATTCAAATCTCCAGCAAGCCTGAGGCCTCATATCTTGATTTTGACTGGAGGGGTCGCTATGAAGGATAATAAGAGATAATAAAGCTTCCAATTTTTTCCTTTAATGGTTGACTAAAAGCTCAAAACCATCTTCAAGTAAATAGGTAGTTTCTGGTACTAAACGATGAAAGGAAATGCCTTTCTCTACCCTGTAGAGATGCCCAGTCTCTTCCCAGGGGAAAACAAATCCTTTGCTAACACTTGTTTCAAAAGCATTATAAAGCTTCCCAGTGACTAAGACACTGGGAATACTGACAATGGTAACTTTTTTTTATCCAGGTGAGTCACACCTCATTTAACACCTGTGCTCTGAACTTCAACTACCAGATTAAAGGCTGTCTTTATGTAATAGTCTGAAATGTTAATCATTTAGGTTTTTCTGTTTTGCCCTTTAAATCTTATTTCAAACAACTCCCTCTTAGGGTAGGAGAGTAGACATGAAGAAGTAACAAAAACTCAGGGCCTTTGGAGATCCCATACACTAAAAGGATTCTGCCAAACCATAGAGTATAAAGCTCAATAAATGTCCAATTTTCCTCCTCATGACATCTCCAGTAGTTTTTCTCTTTAAGAAGTACCAAATCAAGTTCTATCCATAAACTGGGTTTGTGATGCCCCCGCTTTGCAGGGTATGGGCTTATTTAGTCTGTCTTGGCAATCCAGTACTGCTTGGAGACAGTTGATAACGGTGGCCCTCTAGCATCACAGGCACAGCTGATAGTCATGGCAGAGCTCTGGCACTCATCTCCAAGGATGAGGAGCAGACAAAGCAATAAGGCAGCAGGTCTGGAGTGTCACTTCCTCAACATCTGCAGGCATCAGGTAAGTGAAGCATGCAAACTGGCTACACACACAGTTCCAAGAGAGGGAGAGGAAACAAGCAGGAGAATGGCTGTCACGCTGCCAGACAGGAGTTGCCTTCTGCCCACTAAAGCTGCTCACTGGCAAGAAAAGGAGTGGAGACGTTAACTGATAAACACCAAACCTGACGTAAGTGTATATACTTTGCCAAGTCTGGCCCCTTGAAGAGTGGAGCAGGTACAGAATCCAAACCGATGCAGACTCATGCTCTGGCGTGGAGCGGGGTCAGAAGGGCAGCGGGTAACCTGGGTCCTGAGGCTCACATGGGTGTCGGTGGGTACCACAACCTGTTTCACTCCAGTTTTTTGGCTGGCACCCGTGTCCGAGCAATGATGATGGGCACCAGGGCCAGGCAACTGATGAAGAGGGCCCACAGGGGCCGGTAGAAGACCCAACCAGCAGCCACAGTCAGCAGAGTCAGTGAGGTGGCCACGCAGAAGGCAAAGGCCTTCAGGCCAATGTTGACCAGGTCTCGGAAAACAGGAAACCAGTCCACTGAGGGTAAGAAAAAAGGCAGTTAGACTTCGGAGGTCAGCGTATTCTACATCTCATGAAGTCAGCAGATAGTAGATAGTTCCTGTCTCTAGACAAAGATGGGCCCTTTCTGCCAGGTGAGTAAGGAGTGGGGGAGTCCACAGTGGAAGGCAAATAACCTCCTAATGAGGTTAGGAGGCTGGGAGATCCAGAAGAGGAGCCCTCTCTCCCCAGCCACATGGCTGGCCAGCCTTCTCGCCATGCTATTCAGTCGTGATATGAAGGGAGAAAAGAATGAGTGAGAAAGGAATAAGCCACCCACTGGGCACCATTCTAGGGGAAAAGGCATGTGCAAGTGCTTTGTAAACTTTAGGCTGTTGAAATGGCTCTGAGGCCAATATAAAGACATTTGACTGTAATATTGGCAAATACCCTGTTTGCTGCACACTCACGAAAGAGACTGGGCGGAGCCTTCTGCGGGTGCCTATTTGGGCCCCTCAGTTATTCCTGGAAATGTTTGTTCATTCAGAGAGCAGGTTATTACTAATAATTATCTATGTGCCAAGCTCTGGGCAGGGACTGAGGGAAACAAATTAGGCAGCCCCTGCCTCAAGGATCTCATAGGCTACTGACACAGGCTACTGATGAAGTCTAGGATCCAGCTAAATCCATCTGGAAATACCCTGTCCTTGGCCCGTCTAGCCTCACCAGGATGGCTTTCGGTGGCCTCTGTCCACTGGGGGAATCTTCACTCAGTTCCCAGGAGGCCCCAGTAGTCTGGTGCCATTGGGTTTGCAGAACAAGCCCTGGTGCCCTGCCATGACTACAGGACCCTGCAGACCGCCTCATGGCTCTTCTTGGTCTATTCCCATGTAGCACCCCTACTTGGCCTTCACAGTAAGCAGAATTCATATTTTTGAGAGCTGACCATGTATTACGTACTATGTGCACTATCTCATCAAACCCTCGGGCCCACCGTATAAAGCCGGTACTACTTTCACCTCATTTTACCCACAAGGTCACCAAGGCCCAGAGGTAGAGAGAATGAGAGGCTCACAGGCAGTCAGAGATTCAAAGAAGGGCCCTCTGAGACAGACTCCAACCTCCTTATCTTGACTATGGGGCAAATGAGGCTCTGAAAGGGTAAATGGACGATCTAGGTCACACAGCCATGATGGGCTTACTGTGGGAAAAAGATGGAGGATTCTTTTCAAATTCTGATCTCTCCCGAATGGTGCCCAAGATGCAACTGGCCTTTCTGAGTACAATTCAGCTATCCAAAGACAACTCGGATAAGTGTCCTTCTGCTCCCTGGGCCCTCAGTTTTCCCATCTGTAAAATGAGGGAGATGGCCCGCCCAGCTCTGACAGTCCAAGATGTATACAGCCAGACCCCTCCCCAACTGAAAAGGGTAAGTAGGGGAGAGGTTTCTGTTGGGGCTCAGAGAAGGCTGGACAGATTCATCAGACTCAACAGGGACACACTGGGGTAAAGGCTCAGATAAGTCCTCTGAGAAGCCTCATTCTCCTGTTGCAAGTCTAGACCTAGCCCTTACTCAATCAGCCTGGGCACTCAGTCTTGAACCAGGCTGGGTCCCTTGGGCTCACTGGTGCCAACCTCAGGCCATGAGAACAGCCCAGCAAACTCCCCTGCACTCCAGGCTTGCTGGCTGCCCCAAATCTAGCACAGGTTTTGGGGTGGGGAATGAAGTGTAAATGTTTGAGTGTTTCCTATTTACCATACATTTCATAAAACTACAAATTAGGTGTGAGATAACTGAAGAAGAGACAGGAAAGGGGATGGCCTAAGTATCCAGAGCTGTGACTAACAGACTTCAGATCTGGCTGACTGCAAAGGCTGGCCAGCCTCCTCGCCATGGCTATTCAGTCATGATATGAAGGGAGAAAGGAATGAGTAAGTGAGCAAGGCAGGGGACAGATGGATGGAGTGGAACCAGACCCTCAAACCATGGAGGCTACCCCAGCTTCCTGGGATCAGCATCCACTCTGCCTTCACCCCCTGAAAGCACCGTGTCTCTCATGCCTGTCTTCCTTTGCTCGTTCACCCTAACGCTATAGGGTGGAGACACATAGATGGACCAAATGCCCAGCCTCTGCCCCAAGGAGTACCCCATTAGGCTGAAAAGGCTGACAGATGATGGTGTGAGAAATGCAAAGGAAGCACAGGGCTACAGGAAGACAGGTGAGATTTCCCCCACCCGCCTCTCCTCACCTACCCAAGGTATAGAGGATCCGTGTCATGAGGTTAAGACCCATAAACATGGCCATCCAGCCGGCAGCCCGCAGGCCCCATGTCTTCATGGAGTTGCTCTTTTGTTCTCTATGAAACACCTCCTGCAAGACAAGGTGGGGATTGGGGTGTCATGTCTGATGCCTGAGAGAGTCACTAGCCTGCCCAGTTGGCAAAGCAGGTGGTTGAGGGGGCCATGCCAACACAGGGACCACTGGTCAATTCTGAAGAGACCAGAAGAAGATAAAGGGCACTTATCCCACCCAGGTCTAAGTGCCTCACAACCTGGCGTAGCAGAGCAAGTCACACAGACAGATCTTTGTGGAAGGTATGGGCCCTCCTCAGATCAGAGCCCACCTCCTTCAAAAGTCCTTAGCCCACTGTCTCATCTGGAATAAATCTGACCCTCCCTCATACTGCAGCAGTACATTTCTGGGGTCCTTTTTCAACATCCATTTCATTGGGGATGTTTGAGTGGGCCTGCCAGGCACTATGGGAAATGTTTCGTGTATGATATCCAACTTCATCTTGGATGCTGCTCACAGCATCTGGGACACCACTCTTGTGGTTTCCCTCCCACTTCTCAGGCTGCTCCTTCTCAGTCTCTGGAGCCATTCCTTCCTTCTTGCCGTCTTCTAAATGCTGAAATTCTCTAGCAGCGCGGTCTACACTCTCCCTAGGAAATCCATCTATATGTCAGTGCCCATCACTTAAAGCTGCGGCCCTGGCGCCTTCCTGGGCTGTGGCTCCTACTGCCTATGGTGACATCTCCACTTCATGTCTTGGCACACCTGACACTGACAGTGGAGCTTCCACCCCAACCCGTTCCTCTCTGTCATCCTCATCTCAGAAAATGGTACCACCCCCCTCCCATCTAGGTCATCAGCAAGTCCTGTCAATGCTATGTGCACATTTCCCTGAATCTCTCACCACCATCACCCCCTCTCACCAGGACTACTGCATTAGCCTCCTCCCCACTGGCCTCCCTGCTCCTTCCACTCCTACCACCTTCTCCATGCAGCAACCTGCCAAGGCCCTGCTGTCTGTACCCCAGCTCCACTGCTGCCTGTTAAAGACAAAGTCAAGTGTCTTCGTGCACAGGGCCTTTGTACATACAGTTGCTCTGCCTACATGTTTGCCCACGGTTGTGGCTGGCCAGCTCCTACAGTATTCTTCTGGTCTTGGCTTAAATGCCATTTCTTCAGAGAGCCTCCCCATCATTATCTATAGTAATAACAATATGACTGCTAACATTTATTGCTTACTATTTATTAGTGTCCTAAGTGCTTTGTAAATATCCTACCTAATTCTCAAAATAATTTGATGAGGTAGGCACACTTATCTCCATTTTACAGATAAGAAAACTGAGGCTCTGAGAGGATAAGTAACACACTCAGGGTCTTCGTATAAGCTTGAGGGCAGGGATCATGTTTTTTTGTCCCTTGCTATGTCCCTGGTGCTCAATAAAAACGTGTTGAATGAATAATCTTTACAACAACAAATGATTCAGGGATAATAGTAATACATCTTTTTTTTTTAATTTTCATTTTACAGAGGGACAACAGATTCAGAGAGGATAAACAACTGGCTTAAGGTCCCATAGCCAGCAGAAAGCAGAGCAGGGCTTGAGCTGGGGCCATCTCCAGTGTCCATGGTTGTCCACACTGTACCCTCCTGCCCTTGGGATGGAATCTGGATATGCTGACTTGCATGGTCCAGGGTTCTCAGGGCCCCAGGCTGCCTCCTTGGCTCAGGGCCTCCTCTCACTATTTGGCAGCGACCCCAGAGCCTACGCTGGAGGCACAGGGTGATCAGGAAGCATCTGCTCATCTGCGTTGTCATAGCCTTCCCTCCTGGGGAGTTAGCTAAACCATGAACTCCACAACTTCTCTGGGGGTGGGGTATGGGGGGCAGAAGGCCCTGGGCTTCCACCTGCAGGAGGCTGGAAGCCTGGGGCAGGGTTAGAGCTCTGGGAGAGAGGGAGAGGCCTGGACAGGGCCTCCTAATTTTAGAAACTCCCCGGGGGGCCCTGAGAGCTTTGGGAGGAAAGGGTGACTCATGGCCTGCCAGGCTGGGAGGTGGCAGCCCTACTGTGAGGTTGGTAACTGGCTCCTGTGCTGCAGCCTGACCACACCCTAGTCCTGGCCAGACAAAGTAGAAAGCATGGCCCATGCACCCCCCCAGGGCTGGGGGCTAAAGTGAGAGGGATAACAGCTGAAGTGCCTAAGAATAGGGTCAAAAAGGTCCCAGCTAAGCCCTGACACCTGCCCACTGCCTTTACACTTTCAAGCCCTTCAGGATGAAGAGCCCAACAATCCTGTTCAAGGCAAGCACAGAATGTCCCATGAATGTTACACTGTGTTCATCGACAATGCAAAAGCTGCATTTTTCTGTTAAAGGAAGGATTTCCTGCCTAGAGAAGATAGGCTAACTTTTAAGGCACACAATTAAATTAATCAGTACACCTTTGCACCCCTTCTCCTTGGGACTTAGGTAAGGCATGACCTTCCCTCTTCATTCTATAATAAATAGGGACAGGATTGCCCACCCTCACTCACCTGGTCCTGGGACTCTGCAGCTCAAATCCTTTCACTGACCCCTAATGCTCTTAAAAAAGCAGTGCCTCCTCACAAGGAGGTACTGCCCTATCAGCAGCCTTGTCTCCCCTGCACCCGTCTCTCCAGGTGGTGGCCCACAAGCACTCCTGATCCCCTCAACGAGATGAACTCTGACCTGCCTAGACTACAGACTGACCCCTAACTCTTCTAGCACTGATCCCTTCTCTTCACATGAGATTCAGCAAAAATGTCGTTCAGAGAGGCCTTCTTTTACCATTGTCAAAGCAGATTTCCTATTATCATGTCCGTTTATCTCAAAGATCTGCCTCCCCTTTGTAACACTCAGCACAAGGTGTCCTTACTCGTTTTTCTGATGAGTCTCTCTTCCCCATAAGAAGCCTGTAAAGGAGCCTTTTGCCCACCATTCTATCCTTAGGACCTAGCACAGTCTGGCACACAGAGAGATGCTTACTCTTATTTCTTTTTCTTGCTTCATTGTACTAGCTATGACCTCTAGTAGAAGCTTATTAAATAACCACCGGAGGAAAGAGAGAGAGGGAAGGAAATGCCAATCCCTCCATCACAGAGGTAGGCAGCACCAACTCACCTCTGGTGAGAAGTCCCCATGGTGCAGAAGCAGCAAGGTGTCCCCAGACTTGGTGGAATATGGGACTAACTGGTCACCCCGCTGACGGGCAATCACAGTGACCTGGTCAGAGAATTTAGTGTTAGAGCTGAGGGGGTGACCAGTCCATCTGGTCTCAGCACCCCTCTATATGGTGCCAGCTACGAAAGTGAGTGAGGAGTCCCATGCCACCCCTGAGCCTCTATCCATATATTAACCTGGGGTACAGCAGCTCCTGGAGCTTCAGCTGAGCTGCTTTATTTGAAGTTCTAAGAAGGACCCTGGGCTGGGGTTGCAGTGGGACTGCATGTGACAGGATCAGAAATGCAAGATCAAGTATTTACAGAGCAAAAATTGGGGGCTAGAGGAAGGACTGCATATGATTGGAAGAACTCTCATTAGGTATAATTATGAGATCTCCCCACAGTTCTTAACCTGGGGGCTATGGATGTCCATGGATTACTTCAGGGACACAGACCTCTGAAAGAGCTCAAAGGCACGCCTGACTGTGGAGCACATGAACACAGTTCCTAGAGGGAAGGTCTAAAGCGACATTGTCTACTGTGTCCATGCCCAGGAAGGTTAGGAAGCCCTGCCTTAGTCCGCCCTGGAGAAGCTGGATTACCACGTGAGCTGGGCCCAGGTCAGGGTCATCGCCGCTCAGCCCTGCATATGAAAAGAAAACACGCAGGTCTCCAACCTGGGGGGTGGAAGAGAAGTGAGGTGAGTGAGGTCAGAAGTAGCCAGCCTGGGCCTGGGTCCATAATGCCGTTGAACCCTGGCACCCACTCTCTTTTCCCACCTCCACACACTTGCTCAGGTGGTCCTGTCACCTAGAATGCCCCTCCTCTCCAATTTCATTTGGCCAAGTGCAGCTGTGGATTCAACTGAACTTAAGCCAGAATTTGACTGTTGTGTGTTGCCCAGGGGATGGTACTCTAAGGCAGGGGTCCCCAACCCCTAGGCCATAAACCAGTACTGGTCCATGGCCTGTTAGGAACTGGGCTGCACAGTAGAAGGTGAGCAGCAGGCGAGCAAGCCGAACCTTCATCTGTATTTGCAGCCACTCCCCAGCACTAGCATCACTGCCTCAGCTCCACCTCAGATCGTCAGGCATTAGATTCTTTCTCATAGGAGCACTAGTCCCTGGTGCCAAAAAGGTTGGAGACCGCTGCTCTAAGGGTATTTGAACTGCCCAAGCCCCTCTGTGCACCTCTGGATACTTGGGGTTTTCACTGTGGTAAAAATAGTCTCCCCGGCGAATGATGTCCACTTGCGGGTCCTCTAGCTTGGACAGGCTCAGCGGCTTAAAGTTATCCACTTTGTCAATGAGGCCTGAGAGAAGTAGGGGGGTTAGATACAATGGTGTACAAATTGAAACACCCCTCCATCTGGTATCCTTCCCACCGTGCCCTCACACAGTCCACACAGTCCACACAGTCCAGCCAAGCTGCCCACTCCTGGCTCATCCCGCTCAGGGCCTTTGCATGCATGGCCTCCCACCGGGAGTGCCCTTCTCCAGCTCCATAGCTGCTTCTTTGCCAGCCCCATTTCAGTCTCTATCTCCTCCAGGAAGCCTTCCCTGCCCCCTCTCTCCATTAAGTCAGAGTGACCACAGCTCTGGGAATAGCTTTAGCCCTGTACCCATTCTAGTTATCCGTATCCAAGCCTGGCTCCCCGGCTGAATAGAGAGCACTTGGGGCCAGAGCTGGCTGGCACAGCAGGCACTAGCTAGGGACAGAACAGATGGCAGATGGGCCAAGCCCTGGATCACTGGCCTCTCTTCCCTCATCTTGACTCTTTGGGCCCTCAGTGTCTTCTCTCCCATCTTCCTGGGTCAGGCTCAGGGACAGAGCCCTCAGAGTTACTGTGGCTGGTGATGCTGCCTTGTCCTTTGACAGCCTCTCTTTGGAGACACTTGAAGGGGCCTGTGATGAACCGACCCTCCCTGGCACAGGGCTGGGTACCAGTTGGGGCTCAGTGGCGGAGCCCTCAGGGGCAGCCTTGTCTCTACTACTGGCTCAAGGGCTGCTTGAGGAAGGGCTCTCAGTTCAGGTCAGAGTGGGCACCAGCACTGCAGTGGTGCCTGGCAGTCATTCTCTGGAACAATCCAGGTTTCAGAGGAACCTGGCCAGGGTAGGGGTACTCTACATGACTACCCACCTCCTGAGGACTTGCCTTCCCTCTGGCCCTCAGCCCAAAACATGATGCTGCCCAGAGCAGCAGGACCCCTTTAACCACCTGAGGACTGTGCACCAGAGGGACCAGCTCCTGGGAGGTGGCCGAATGGAAGCAGAGTCTCTGGGTTGGCGATGGACCATCTGAAGGGGCCAGACACTTACCTGCTGAGAGGAAAAACCTGCCAATTTGAACGAAGGGGGCTGTTGCTGTGAATGACTCCACTGCCATTGCACTGTGGGAGAGAGAGGGAGCTGTCAGTGAAGCGGGGTGCCACGTGGGAGCGGTCTGGGTTCCTTTGGGTTGTGCTCGGCAGGTCCCCACACAGAGGAAGAGGGGGGCTCCTGCATGTCCGGACCAGCCCAGGCACTGCAAAAGTCTTGTCTTTACCACCAGCTCCAATGACTGCATTCTCCTACCCTGTCCCCTGGATGGAACACCCTCACTCTGTCTCCTGTCCCCGAGAGCTTCATACCCTCTTGCCTGGACCCCTATAAGCCTGTCCCACCCCACCCCCCAGACGTCAGATGGACCTTCCATGGACTTCACACCTCACTGACCCTTCCCAGCGCTGGCGGCATCTAAGCCCCACTGCGCACATTCAAGGCCCTTCCTGGCACAGCCCTGCCCATGGCTGTACGCAGCTCACACTCCAGCTGTGCTCCAGCATTAGGCCAACTTCACCTCCTCTATGACCCTGACCTAACCTACATCTGTCAAAGTCCTATGAAGGCTCAGATCAAATGCTGCTGCCTCCCAAAAGCCCTTCCTGACTGTCCTCCCACCCCGCTGGCTAATGGTTAACAAATGCCCTCCTGGTACTGTATGTGCAAACCCCATTAGGCATTCAGTCTAGGCCTTATATTCATGATTTGTTTGAGGGGTCAGAGATGCTGGGTTGCCTCTGTGACCTGGTGCCCAGCACAGGAGCTGTCCCACCCAGCATACAGACTTGTGCCAGGGAGGGGTGGTCATCACAGGCCCCCCACAAGTAACTCTAAGGAAAAGCTTTCTGGGGACAAGGCAGCATCACTAACCACAGAGTGGTCCACCATGTCCAATACTTTCATCAACTCAATCCCATTATTCAGCTGAGAAAGCAGAGGCCAGGGACCTGCCACTGGCAGCCAAGGCTACACTCAGGCTTAGGGGCCCAGCTCTCACCTGGGGTTTTTGTGGCCAATCTCTCGGTCGAAGTTTCTGCTGTTGACAATTTCCGACCTCCATTCAGTGTCTGTTGTGGGGAGAGGGAACAACTCAGCAACCATGGAAAGAATGGCTACATATCTGAGGTCCCCTGGACCTGCGTCCTCTTATCCAAGCCTGTGACTACTCCATGGCCGAAGGGGCAGTTTCTGGTGCCTTATTGGATGGATAAGCAAGCAGGGCTCCAAGGATCAGTACCCACAGATCCCAACACCTGGTTCTGTACCCTTCCCCTGCAGGAATGTGCCCAGCATCTGCCCACAGGCTGGGGCAGGGCCGAGAGGGTAGGGGGCCGATACTCACTGTAGGAGTACCTCCTCTCAGTTTTCACCTGCCCATCTTCAGTGTATTCCCTGCAAGGAAAGCACAGGCAGTCCCAGAGTCAGCCCATCATTCCTGAGGCATTCCCATCTCTAAGCATCTCTACCTGGAAATAACTCAGAGCTACCAGGTCAAACTGCCCAAATGGAGCAGGCCTTGTCAGCATTGGCCCGGAGACAGGGTACTCACTCCCTGGCATACAGCCAGCTCCAGCCTTCAAAGGCCCTGACTGAAGATAAGTGCTTTCTCATCCTGAGCTGAAATCTGCCTGGTTCACACCAACATTTGCAGCCTCTGGGCCCAGAGATGTGGCTGCATACTGTGCTCCAAGACAGCCCATAGAGGCCCATGCAGCTGCCCTTCTCCAGGCTGAGCTGCCCTGGCTTCCCCAACCACATCCCTACCACCTCAGCTCATAGTCCATGTTGCTCATGTGGGGATGACTCCACCCCCAGCCTGGCCAATGAGGTCCTCCACTGGGACTTCTGTTAGAAGTGATAGGATATAAGCCAGGAGGCCACCTCTGCCCCCTCAACGGACAGAGGATAGTACCAACACATGCGGAAGCACAGTATGCGGCCTGAATCCAGTTATGCCTTAAGCTTGGGCATCCAGGGAACATCTTTGGAACACCTGTGGAGCTAATCAAACCCCCTTTCTCCTTTGACCCACTCTGCATTGGATTTCTACCACCTTCAAACAGAAGACCATTGGCTAATAACTTTGGGATAATTTGACATTTCTTTGATAGGAAGGTTTTATACTTTAAATTTCAGAAGTGTCAAAATGAAAGACACTTGCATTTTATCTTAACATCTGCATCTTCTTATCACCAACTGCTTTCCACTCCCTGGTACCTCACCTGGACTCCTCAGTCTCTACCCACTGGTACATCTCCACATGCCGCCGCAGCTTCACAGCCGGAAGGTGGACCCCATAGTTTGGATCAGATAAGAGCTTCAAAAAGAATCAAACAAACCAAAAGTAAATAAATAAAAGACAGGACTCATGTCAGCCCAGAATGTCCAGCTCAGGGGAAGCTGGACTGAAAGAGAAACAGGTACAAAGAGCAGTGACATGTTGGAGAACTCTGCTTCATGTGGGAGAATTAAGTGAAGCTGTCTGTCTTAAGTTCTAAACGCCCAATGCCTGTGACCATGGTACAGCATAAGCTCGGGCTACATGGCCCAATGGAATGGTACCAACAATGACATATTTGGTGTTCGAACACAGGAGGTCCAATAACCAGAGTACCTTTGTGGCCTGCACTAGACACACATGCTAATCTTAATCATTAAAGCACCTATTTGTAAAGCTCACACCATGTGCCAGACACTGTGCCAGGACGTTAGCTATTTAATCCTACCAAATCTTCAAAACTGGCCCCCAGTTTATTACAATTATTTTCCCCATTTTACAGATGATGTTGAGACTCAGGAGGGATGGGTCCACACAGCTGCTGAGTGGTGCAGTCAGGAATCACACCCTTGTGTGTCCATCTCCAAGTCCCATGCTTTCAAAATCTTCAATCAGACAATACTAAGTGATGTGCCCCAAGCCTCCAGTGGATCAGCAACCATCGCCACACCTACCTTGGATGTCCGCAGTGCCCCAATGATGTGCACAAGCCTCCCCTCGTTTTCCGGGGCCACGCTATGGATGCTGTCAGGGGACACCACAAGTGAGAGTCCCTCGGCCAGGGAAGTTGCTGTCTTCAATGCACGGCCCTGTGAGCAAAGCAGAGTGAGGATTTCAAAAACTCAGTGTGGCCTGATATAGTTGTGCTTATTGCAGTGTCTCAGGGCAGGATGGGCCTCTGGGAGCATTGAAACTGATCTCTCCATTTTACAGTTGGAAAACTAAGGTCTAACAAGTGGCAGAGTGGGAACCCAGAATTCCTGTTTTCCCAGGTGGACCTCTTCCCACCCTCCCCCACCACTGCCCTCATATTGCAACTAGCTGGTGCTTTCATTTGCTCTATACTCCCCCATTTTCCTCTGTCTTCTCCTCACCTCCCCTACTTTCAATCCATGTATTTACAGGCCCATCTGGACTGCTGTCCAAATCATGTGATCCAGCCTAGCCAATCAGAATATGTGTCCACTGGCCACACGACTGGTTCAGAGAGAGGACTGAGACCCACGCCAGAATACAGAGATCTCCCTGTAGCTTGTGCTAAACTTATTTAGAAAGAGATGGTTCCTCTGTTCTCTGGGGCTGCTAAGCTGACTGGTGTGACCCTGGAGTTCCTTTGCCACCACAAAGAAAGAGCCTTCCAAAGAAAAATTGAAAATAGAGAAAAACAGGCAAAAGATAGAGAAATGGAGATTCTTGGTGACCTAGCATGAATGCCTGAATCCAACCATGCCTGAAGCTGGTTTTATCCCCGAGATTTCAGGCATGTTAACCTATCCACTCCCCTTCCCACTTATGTCAGTTGTGAGGTGGGTCACAAGAGAAAAATTCTGATTAATTCAGCATCCCTCCCCTTTCTCTTGATAAAATCTAGGCCTTTGTTACTAAACCCAGCCTCTGGATTCACAGACTTTGCTCCCTGACGCTACAGGGACCCTCGCCCTGCACAGAGGGACCCCAAACATTTTACCTCATTGGTAAAAATTAAGTAGAAGGAGAGCAAGAAGGTCATGAGCCCAACAAACATCCCACCCGAGGTTTCACTCAGCCGCTCCAGGAAGCCCGGCTGGCGGTCAGTTGTAATTTTCACATGTTCTCTTCTGTTACTTGTACTGGAATACTGAAAAAAAAAAAATTTTTTTTTAATCAGAATGAAAGTTAATTTTTAAAAATAAATTGAATTTTGCTATTTATTTATACTCAGTTTTTACCATTTTCATAAAAATGCACAGACAAATATATACCCCATCTGACCAACATCCAGCTCACAATACAGAACATGTCTATCACCTCCGAAAGTTTCTTTGTGCCTCTTTCCTGCCAATATTCCCCTTTCTCCACCTCCCAGAGTTAATGACTTTTTGAATTTGTATCATTACAAATTAGTTTTGCCTCTTATAGAACTTGATATAAATGGACTCATAATATAGCAGGCTCTTTTCTGTCCAGATTCCTTAACTCAGAATAATGCTTTTGAGGTTCACCCACATTGTACTGTGATCAGTAGTTTATTCCTTTTTGTGGCTGAGTAGTGTTCCATTTATGAATATATCACATCTGTTGATTCATTCACCAGTAGATAGATATCTTAGTTATTTCCAGTTCTTAGCTATTATGACCAGTGCTTCTATGAACATTCATGTACGAGTCTTTATGCGGACGCATGCTTTCATTTCCTTTGAGTATTGGATATATACCTAGGAGTAGAATTGCTGGATCTTAGGGAAGATGTATGTTTTTTAAGAAATTGCTGAACTGTTTTACAGAGAGGTTATTAGAGGTATACTATTAATTCAATTCAACAAATAGTGGCTCAGCTTACCAAGGGCTGTGCTGGGCCTTACAGGAGTAAGAGGAAGGGAAGATAGGCTTTATGGCCATTGAGTCACAGCTACAAACAGTGCTAGGTCATGCCGAGTGTCTGGTGAGAAGAGAGGATCCAGTGCTAAAGGAAGGACCCTTTCCAGCTGGGGGATCAAGGCAGATTCCCTAGAGGAAGAGACATTTGAGTAGGACTTCGGAACCAGACCCTGGAGTAAGGGCATCCCTAGCAGGGCAAACTGTGTGAGCAATAGTGAGAAAATAGGAAATGGTTCTGGGAGAACAGCTGCCTATCTGCTCTAGCTGGGTTGTGGAGGGGGCAGCTAGGCACATCCAGACAGGTTCATGGTAGGCCTCAAATTCCACAGTCAGTGGATTAGGCTTTGTCCCGCCAGTAATAGAAGCATGGTTTGGAGTATGTCCACTGTTGACTGAGAGTGTTGTTATCAAGGGCAGGACTCTGGAGTCAAAAGGACTGAGTTTGAATCCAGACTCTAACACGTGTCAGCTATGGGACCTTGAGCAAGCGAAATAATCCTTTTATGCCTTCTATTTCCTCATGAGTAAAATAGGGATAATAATCCAATATATAAAATTGTGGTTAGGATCAAAGGACCTAATTATTCAATGGCTCAGTGCCTAGGGCACAGTAAGCAATGTACAGGTGCTACCTGGTGGTAATGTTACTAGCTTTTTCTGTAACTGATACCAAGGCTTGTGTCAAGGCTGGGGGTCAGCCGACAAAAGTCACAAAGATGTAAAGAGGTTCTGAGATGTAAAGAGGATAAGCCAGGCCCCATCCTGGAACTGGGGAGTCAGAGGAGAAATTCAAATGTCTCCATTTATATTCTCTGATTATTCCCAAATGCCACCATCCCAGACCTCCAAGAGACCAGAAGTCCATTGTGTTCAGAAATGGTCTTAACATTTTGGAAATGCCATTTGAAAATATCAGTGGAGCAATTCACTGTAGGCAGTTAGGTGACCATGAACCATCATAATGATGACAATGGCAAACACACCGGTCTATCACAGGCCAGTCATAAGCAAGCCCAAGGAGGTGGATGCTATCACTACTCCATTTCATGAAGGAGAAAACCAAGGCTCAGCAGTTAAGTCATCAGCCCAGATCGCTTAGCCTCTAAGAGGTGGAGTCAGGATTCAGATCTGGGCAAACTGCATTCTTCACTTCTTGGGTTGTAAGGAAAGCAGAACATTGGGAGCCAGTGGCAGACAGTGATGGGAAAAGGAGCCAGTCCTGCTATTACCAGTGTAGCCCCAAATTTGGAGGCTAATAGGCATAGCTTCCTCCTGGGTCTCCCTTAGCATACATCTAAGAGCCAACATCAAGATCAGGGGCTCAAAGATGGCCTTACAGGAAAAAAGAAAGGCACGGGAAGGTGCCCCTCAAGCTAGGGAGGAGTAAGGTGGGTAGTGACATGATACACCCAGCCCAAATTCTGAACCAAATTCCCTACAAACAGAATAATGGAGATTTCCTGGGCCCACTCCTCACCCACTACACCTCCCCTAGCCTGAGGGGCACTCTCCTGAGCCTTTCTTCCTTCCCTTCAAAGCTATCTGTGACCTCTTAATCTTAATGTTGGCTCCCTGATGTGTGTTGAATACCTAATATGTATTTCAGTGACACAAACCCTCCCAGTTCCAGCACTCTGGACTCAAGAAGCAATAAGGGGTAGGAACAGAGGTCAACACAAAGGCCCTGAAAATTACTTGCTCTGTAACCCTGGGTAAGCTGCTCTACCTCTCTGATCCTATTTACTCACTTATAAAATGAAGATGGTAAACAGTAACTCTGTCACAGACAGTTGTTGTTACATTAAGAATTCTGTCACCTCCCTGCTCCACCCCACCATCTTCCTCATGGGACATGGCTGCTCCCATAAATGCACACCAGGCAAAGACTTGGCAGCAGAGGATACCCAAATTCATCTACATTCCTTGGCAAAAGTCAGGTCCTAACATACCCAAGATGGTCTCTGCCCACAAGGACTATTCGTGCTAGACTGTAAAGATAGATTTTTTTTTTTACGTATTATGAAAAAAATACGCACCGAGCAATGTGCAAAACACAACCTCCCTTAGACTTCTCAGTAACCCAACCCACAAGAGATTAAGGCCACATGCCTACAGAAGGGACGAAACTGGATTTGCCCCTAGATCTGCCTAACTCCAAAGCCTGCAGTTTTCAGCACCTTCCCATGATGTAACCTCACAAGCTGGCCGTGAGACCTGGGCAAAGTGCCTTTCCCTGCTGTGAAATTCCTCATCTGTAAAATGTGGTGGCGGTATGGGGGCAGACAGGAGGCCACCTCTAAGGACAGGCAGGTCTCCTGACTGCCCTCTCCCCTGGCAGACCCTGGCTCTTATGGACCACCTCTGAGGCTTTTCTAGGTGCAGCATTCAAAGCTTCTAGGCCTCCAAGACAACTCTAACCTGGGACAGAGTGTGCTAGGGCTGTGGATGACACAAACTCTGCCTTTCAAGGGGTGTGGGAAGCAAAGAGGACGCTTGGGGACAGAGGAGAGGCCTGGAAAGAGGGTGTAACAGGCCAGGGGAGAGTGGGTAGGGCACTCCACCAAAGCAGGAGGGAGGGAGAGAGGAAGGGAGTATCTGAGGCTGGCAGTGCTCCCGAGCTGGCTCTAAAAGCACTTTCACAGAGGAGGGGACTGGTGAGTCACCAGCTTCTCCCACATCCAGCACCCTGGTGAAAAAGGCTGCTCGGTTTGTTGAATGAATGTTAGACTTAAATAGAAAAGTTCCTGAGAAAGCCTGGCTGCAAGAAGAGGCCAGCAGTCTTTGGAAGGAAAACACTTTCGATCAGGGCTTCTCTAACCAAATCCAGGCTAGGAGGAGGAGCCCAGCGGTAGGGAAATGCTCCGTCTCATAGTCATCCTAAGTCCTCCGCTCCCAACCTTGCCTGTGTCCCTTTGCAGCATCATAGCCTCTATTCCACAAACCCCCGTTAGGCGGGGAGCTCACTGCCCACTGGAAAAGCCCTGTATGTCCGTTGCTGGACAGCTCCACCGGGCGGGATCCGCTTACCTACACTTCACGCCGCCGC